GGATCATTTACACCCCTTGAGCATTCTAAAGGATACTGGTTTTATTGCTCTTCTCGGGGTACCAGGGTGGTTGAATCTATGAGCGTCAAGTTCTTGGAACTTGATATAGCTAAAGGTAGCAATACTCAACCCTTGGAGAATTGTAAAGCAGGCTCATCATGTACTATTCCCTTATCTGTTAGGCATGATGGTATGGTTTCAGAACTTGTTTTAGTGGAGAATCAATAGGTTCCAAAGATTCTTACAGAACATGAGACTGTGCAAAATGAAGTTGACGCTGATGAACTTATTGTAGATCCCATTATAGAGGAATTACTTGTAAAACATAATATTGCTAATGAACCGGTTATTGAGATTGCTCTTAGGAGATCAACCAGAGAAAGACGTTCTGCTATTTTTGATGATTATTATGTCTGTCTTGATGAGGCAGAATATGACATTGGTCAAGTTCTCGATCCAACAAGCTATAATGAAGCTATCTCAGGTCAGCAATCCGATAAATGGTTTGTTATAATGAGAGAAGAAATGAAGTCAATAGCAGACAATAAAGTATGGGATCTTGTGGAATTGCCAGATGGTTTTAAACCCATAGGTTGGAAATGGGTTTGCAAGACAAAGAGAGACTCCAAGGGAAGAATTGATAGGTTCAAGGCAAGATTGGTTGCTAAGGGTTTCACTCAGAGAGAGGGTATCGATTTCAATGAGACATTCTCTCTTATGTCTACTAAAGATTCATTCAGAATTATAATGGTCTTGGAATGGATGTCAAAACAGCCTTTCTAAATGGAAATCTTTATGAGGAACTTTAAATGATGCAAACTGATGGTTTTGCAGCTGAAGATAAGCAACACATGGTATGCAAGTTGAAGAAGTCAATCTATGGTTTAAAGCAGGCTTTCAATTAGTGGTATCTCAAGTTTGATGAAGTTGTGACTTCATATGGTTTCACTAAGAATAAGTTTGATCAATGTGTGTATATGAAGATTAGTGGGAGTAAGTCTGTATTTCTGGTTCTTTATGTCAATGACATCTTACTAGCCAATAATGATGTTAATATACTGCATGAGACAAAATAGATCTTGTCTAAAGCTTTTGACATGAAATATTTGGAGATGCTTCTTTTGTTCTTGGTATTGAGATTTTTCATGACAGAACTCGTGGGTTGCTTAGGTTATCTCAAAAGGCTTACATTGAGCGTGTGTTAAAGAGATTCAACATGTAAAATTGCAAGCCTAGAGATGTACTTGTGGTAAAAGGAGACAAGTTCAGCATCAAGCAATGTCCTCAAAGTGATTTGGAAAGGGCATCTATGCAGAATATTCCTTATGCTGGTGCCATTGGAAGCTTGATGTATGCACAAGTATGCACAAGACCAGACATAGTTTTTGCTGTAAATGTCCTTGGTTGTTATCTTTCGAATCCAAGTTCTGATTATTGGGTTACGGCCAAGAAAGTTATGAGATACTGGCAAAAGACGAAAGACTTCATGCTTGTATACAAAAGGGTTGAAAATCTTGAAGTAGTTGGATATTTTGATTCAAATTTTGGTGGTTTTCCAGATGACTTAAAGTCTACTTCGGGATACATTTTCTTGCTTGCAAGTGGAACCATATCATAGAAAAGTGTTAAGCAGACTTCTTCAATCATGTACGCAAAATTCATTGCATGTTATAGGGCAGCTACTCAGGCTATATGGTTGAAGAATTACATTACTGATCTAGGTGTCGTTGATTCCATTTCTAGGCCACTAACAATCTATTGTGATAATAATGCAGCCGTGCTCTTCTCCAAGAACATTAAAATCAGTAGCAAGTCAAAGCATATGGAGATAAAATGTCTTACAAGGACCTGGTCAAAAAGGGAGACATTGTTGTACAGTACATTAGTACTAATAGTATGTTGGCTGACTCACTAACCAAAGGACTTAGACCCATTTCTTTTAAAGGTCATGTAGAATATATGGCTATTTTATAGTCTTTTGATACTTTAGGTTAGTGGGACTGTGGGAGTTATTGATGTATGACTATTGATTTTATGCTATACTATTGATGATGAGTTAGCATTTTATTTTTTTTTCAGTCATGATCGTTGTTTTGATATATATATATATGCACATATAAATTGTTAATATACAACATTGTGTCTCAAGAATAAGATTTCTCTTGGGAATAATAGTTGTAAGGATATGTTTCATATATGGAAATTGCAATATTATTGACTGGAACATATTGGTTTTGTTAGAAGTTGTGTGGCTTGGTTGGAAGCTATGAGACGTCTCTTGCTTTTCTTTAAAGCATAAAAATTAAAGAGAGATCTTAATCAGGACTAACAGGGTAATAGCACATGTTTTGATCACCTGTTGGGGTGCTATCCTTGTCACACTGCCAGATAATTGATCTATGTGATTTGATTATTAGTAATTGTAATCATGGATTCATCTTATGTTGTTTTAAGATGTAAAGATTGCCTCGGCTCATTATTGATAATCATATTGACTAGATTGTTGGTTGAAGTGTTATCTCTGGACTATGTTGTTTTCTTAAAATAGTGGCCACTTTAAAGTTAAAAAGTTATGTTTATCCGGAGTCAAAATTGTTTTCTTTCTTAAAATTAAAATAAAATAATTAATGTTGCCCAAGTGGGAGAATGTTAGAAAAGTTTTCTAATTATGGGCTAACATTAATTATATGTTAGTTTTGATTAAAACTGTGTAAATTAATAGTCCATTGATATACTAATGGATTTAATGTGATCATATTAAAGTTTAGCCCATTACACTTCTTTTGATTAATCTAGATTGACAACAAAGTGTGGGCCTTAGGGTTTATTGGTCTTTTAATGGGAAAGCCTAATAAACTATTATTAAATTAGTTAAGTCTCATTTCCAAATGCTATAAGATAACTGAAACTCATTTTGAAAGTTATCATCAGTTTGTGTTATTGAAACGGAAGACTTACGCTCTCTGCCTTTTGGGGAAACAAAAAAAAAAAAAACAGTTGCTTTTCTTCTAAGAAATTCAAGGATCAAGAATCATGGCACAAACAGATTTATCTATAACCCTTTACTATTAATTTAATATTCTATAATTTTAGTGTTGATCTTTTGGGATGTTGTTTTTAATTTTATTTTATTCACATTGTCAATTGAGCGAAGTAGAATTCTTGTTTTAATTTTATAACAATGGATGACTTATATATGCTCGAAAATCAGCTTCCGTTCTTTATTCTTGAGGATTTTATTCATGATAGTCTAATTAGCCCACATTAATGTATCCTCCAACAAATATGAGAAGCTCTCTCTTCTTGAAATTACTCGTGAGCTCACCAAACTTCGTTGGGGTTACTTGGGAATAGAGGAGAGTTTGGATGAAAGTAAATATTCAAAGGTGGATCATCTTGTTGACTTCCTCAGATGCAGCATTGTACCTTCAAAGTCGATTGAGAAAGATAGAGAAGAAATCCTAACAACGTCACCAAGTGTAACAAAACTACATCAAGCTGGTGTAAAATTCAAGCTTGGATCAAGCAAAAACTTGTTTGATATAAGATTCAAAAATGGGATACTAGAAATCCCACGAATCACAATTTGTAGCCCAATGAAATATGTAGTGAAAAATATGTTGGCCTTCGAGAAAAGTCAAAGTTCATCTCTTAAATCACTGTTTTATCTTAATAAATTGTAGATGGTAAAAATCTATAGTTACGGAATAGGCTAATCTTGTGAGGTTGGGGTCATTAACGATTTGCTAAACCTACAAACACAAAAAAGAAAGCACGAAGCTTACGTAAAACACTGGTATAATGTCTACTATAGACACTCTAACGCTCAAGTCAACGAAGCTGAAAGATGTTATTTAGTGAGGGCTAAGGGGAGGAAGGTTTACCAAAGTCTGATCAGAGATTAGACGAAGGTGCTAGTTCTTAGGAGCAAAGAACTTTAGAAGCCAGTATGTAGTGAACCTAAGATCTTTGAATCCTAATAGAACTTTGAATTCATAATGGTGAAATCTTAGTAAATAGGAAAGACCTAATTTACTTGCTTTTGTAGGAGTAAAAGTCCTAATTCATGTAAGATTCAAGATTTTGGATGAATCAGGATAAAGATGAAATAGGACTCAAGATCTTGGATGAATCAGGATAAAGATGAAATAGGCTATAGATGTTTTAGGGTTTGAATTGGACTCTGGAGCCTTTGAAGTTACCATGGGCCAATAGGCCTAGGCCTAGGTGGACCAACAACGAGGCCCTATTTGGATGATCCAACTTGAGGGAAGCTGGATTGGTGTAATGGGCTGGCCCATGATGTGAATCTTGACATAGGCCACATGGCCCTGGACCATGTAATAGATGCTTCATGTTTGGCAAGGTCCAAAGATTATTTTTTGCTAATACATTCGTTGTCTTGCTAAGACTCCGAAGAATGTGGAATTACTCGTTCAACATGAAATTATTCACAATCAACTCGGAGATGGTGAACAGATGTCAAGCATTTTCATAGCCTTGTTGAACGGCCTACTTTCAATTTCAATCCTCCACATTTTCACTTTTCTTTATTGGTGGAAGAGCTGAACAAGTACTGCAGAAGACCTTGGCACAACTGGAAGACAACCTTGAAACAAGATTATTTCAAAACTCTCCATGGACTACTGTTTCTGTCATTGCTGCTGCTTTTCTCATCACACTCACTTTAATACAAACCCTCTGTTCTATCATACAATTAAAATCTAATTCATGATATCTTGTATCTGTAGGAATTTGCTCATATTTCTGTATTCAAACAAATATCTACCTTATCAATAAAATAGCTAGCAGAAATAAAGAGGAGGATTGAGTGTACTTACTAATAATTATAAACGCTAATTTGTTTAGTTGATTCTTTCATAACATTTTCTACTGCACCTCCATGGATATTGAAAATGGATTACTGCAAGTAACTAGGATTTGCAGGAAATAATTTATTCCAAAATATTGTAAATGAAGTCTTTCCATTCATAAAGAGATGCAAGAAAAACTTTTATGTATATAGATTTTTCAGACGAAAAATTGGATGATGATTTCTAAATGCTGGAAACCATCTGCACAGGATAGAAATCCTCAGAACAGAGGAAGGATCCTCACTCTTATTTATTTATAAGTTCAAGATAATATTAAAATTTTCAGTCAACAAATATGATGGCGCTTGTTTAACACAAAATATGCCGTACGTGTTACTTGAGTCCTACCAGTGAAACTGCATAAGCTTATTCCGTACGTGTTCACCTGAAAGAACAATGTATATTGTTTTAAGTCTTTTTTGGAGCTTCATTTGTGCGCTAAATCAGTAAATTTATGTTAATTAACAATAAACGCCAACATATTTAGCATGGGTTTGAACTCAAGATTCCGATTAACCTAATTTGAACTCAAGATCAGAAGAGATCATCAAAGACTAAAATCTAAAGCGTTGAAAAACAAGAAGATTGAAGGCAAAGCAGACTTACGAGTGATTGAAGGTTTGAAAGTCCATCGAAATTTGCTTGCAAAAAATTCTGAGGTTATGACGAGAAGCACGACAAGAACCTTGAGAATCGTTAAAGCAATCAAAAAGTTCTTCCAATTCTTGTAGGCCATGTTTTTTTTCTTCAGTGAAGCAACAACGCGCTATGCCCAGAATATGTATTGTGTTAGAAAGCCTCCCAAGAGTCGTTTAGTTCATTTCCATTCAATTTCTATAAATTCAAAGTCAACTTCAACAGCGCCATTTATTACTTTCTCTTCGGGTTGGCAGGAACAAGAACACTTATTCAACCATATTGCTTACTATTACTTTTCAATAATGTTTTTATACCCGGGCCTTGACCCGGTCAGGGGCCAATCCCGAGGTCAGGCAATCGAACCGGTTTGATTGATGGGTCTGACTAGTCTAGGGCTATTAATGAGCCAAACTAAGTTTTTAACTTAACGAGCTTGGCTCATGAAAATAAAAAATAATCGAGCCAAATCGAGTTTTTAATTTCCTGACTTGACTCAACTCATAAAAAAAAAAGATTTTGAGCCTGACTCGCGAAGCCAACTCATGAGCCAATAAAAACATGCAAATTTTTTTTAAAATTCAGCGTAGATTTTTTCTCTCTCCCTCATTTATTACTCTTTCTTTTCTCTCTCTGGTTTACTACTCTTTCTCCATCACATCTTTTCTTATTGATTCGTTTCTTCTCTCTCTCTCTCTCTACAATGCTTTTCCCCTTTACAATGGCTCACGGATTCTCTTTTTTTTTTTTTTTTTCCCTTTCTTTCTCCCTGTTTCCCTTGCTTTCTCCAATCTCCACCAACTCTGAAGTTATTCTCTTCCTCTTCTCTTTTGTTACTTATTACTTTTGGTTTTCTCTTCTTTTCTTTCCCTCTAATGACATCTGGTTTTTCCTATTTTCTCTTTCTTTCCTTCTTTCTCATTTTTTTCCTATTTTCTCTTTCGTTCTTTCATTCTTTATCCTTGTTTACCTTGCACTCTCCACCAACTCTGATTTCTTGCCTTCTTTCTCCTTGTTTCCTTGCACTCTCCACCAAATCCGGCACCAACAACTTCCCTAAAATGGTTTGGTTTGGTTTTGTTTTGTTTTAGGGGAAAGGATTTAGTCGCATTTTTAGGGATTTTAACATCAAAGTGTTATTTGTCATTTTTGCAAACTTTTTGTTTTAAAAATTTTAGTTTAATCCCCTATACTTAATAAAACCCCTAATAATTTGAGCCTAGCTCGACTTGCCAGCCTAACGAGCCGAGCCGAGGAAACTCGAACTCGACTAGAACTCTCTCACGAATCGAGCCGAACCGGCTCGATTTCAGACGAAACGAGCAGTTAACGAGCCGTACTCGAGCCGAGTTGACTCGCGAACAACTCACTTCGTTGAACAACCCTAGACCAGTCACATCAACATAGAACTAATTAGTATGGAACTTAATAGACATACCCCCAAGAAATTACGCATCAATCCTTGCAAGTTTGAAATCCAACAAACACCCCTATGATTTGGCTAGGAAACCCTAGCCATCACAACTACAATCCATCCTAAATCAACCCAACACTAGAAAAACCACCATGAAAACCCTAATCCACCACAGGACCCACCATCCGTCACAATAAAACCCACCACAAACTAAGGGAGCCATCACGAAGAGGAAAGGAAGGTTGAACAAGCACAGAGGGACCACATGGTCAATGATGCAAAGGCGAAGCGGACTACAATCCAGATTGAAGATTAGAAGATTTGAAGAAGTGAATATGAAGAACTGACAATTGAAATTGAAGATGAAGAAATGAAATTGAATAATAGAATTTAGGGATTTTAATTTTAGGAATTAGGATTCTGGTTTAGCCACCAATTCTCTAACCCAAAGGTTGAACCGACGATTCAACACTATTCCGCCGGTTCAACCCGAGTCAATCTGGTCCAACTGCTATAATCGAGTTTAAAATGTATCCAAACCAATTAAGGGTCCAATTCTTGGTCAGACCAATCAATCCGATCCAAGTTTTACAACAATGCTTTTCAAAGTAACCAAAAAAAAAAAATTTGACATCTTGAAGGATTATTGATAATTAACCACCAACCTTTAATTTTTTAGTGTTAAAATAAAAAGCAGAGGAACAGTTAAATAATATTCATTAACCCATCATATTATAAATTGTAATAATACACTAACAATTAACTAACGACAGGGGAGTTCTAATATTTCTAAAATGTCATGGGAATTTTTGTTATTTGATTAAATTTAAGGGGATTGGCCGATTTTCAACATTAACAAATAAAGCAGATGCAGTCAAGTTTGTAAATAAAATAGTTGATCTCAAAACTTCAGTGTTAAATTCTTGCTAGCTAGATAAAAATGCAAGTGAGCCACTTGCATAAGTATACATTTGGAGGGTAATAACAAAAACTGAGAATGAGATACAGAGTATCTTAAAACTAAGAGGTCGAAATGTATATTAGAATTCAGGATTTCTACAGACTGAGCAATATCACGCACACAGGTAATTATATACATAATAATAATTTATAAGCTATATATGTGAACAGACATACAAAAATATATCATCAGCCGAAGGAAGATAATCATGAACTTCAACGGCCTGAATTTACTGCAGAGGCAAATCCTATGCTCCCAACTGGCAAGGCATGCTAAAACCATCTGAACAGACAGGATCTTTATAATCAGATAAAACTACCATCAAAACAAGAAACAGAACGAGGGAAGCAAACATTTGATTTATTTAATACTAACATTGTCCAGAATGTAAAATATTTTGTAGCCGTGTGCACTCATTTAGAAAGTATTTCTCTGCTCACTCAGACCCACCAATCTGCAAAGTTATTGATTATGATAGGCCTACTTAGGTGACAGACACAAGGTTTAGAGGACAAGTATTGGCATATACATAGCATGGCTAGGTGGGAGCGGGAGTGGGAGTGGGAGTGGGAAATTAAAAATTATGGTAACAAGAGAATAAAATAATAACCAACCCCCAAAAATGTTCAACCTTGCCATCATCTTAACCCCAACTGTTGTATAGCTATGATCCCCTATAATTAACCAGAACCTTTGGTTAAATACTAAACACATGGCTAGAACACAACTATCTAGACTGAACATTCCCACCCAATATGAAAGTATGCATCATTGTTGCTGTATATGTAATTCTATACAGCTATTAGCTACCACTTAACCTTTAGGCAAGAAGGTGACAAGTTGGCGAACACTTGTTCAAAGTACCATTAATATAAAGTACGTTTGCTTAAAGAAAAACTTCAAGGATGGTTCAATCAGTGGACACCAAAGGGACATTCTGACTTAAAATGTAAACTTGCATAAAAATAAGATAGAACATAAGACTCACAAAATAAAGCTTTCACTTGATCTGCTTTGCAGCCATAGTCCTCTGAACAGTAGACACACCATCCACAAATTTTGTCCGGAAAAGAACATTAGCATTGTTGAACATGCCTTCTTTTAGTGATACCACAATAAACTGCGAGACATAAATACCAAAAGAAGTCACATAATAAAATAAAACTTCATCCAAGAATATTTTACCCTATAGTTTAATCGACAATTGAAGCACTCAAATTTAGTCTTTTTTCCTTATCTTTCCTTTTTAATAACTAAGGCCAAGCAGTACCTAACATTTCTTTTCACTTATTTGAGTTGCAAAACTCTTTTTAACTGAATTCACCTTAGATTTAAAAGAGAACAAGAAGCTACAATCATCTTTAAAGAAAATTATCAGACCTGGGAATGAGGAAAGTGAGTCTTGATCATTCTCCCTATGTTTTGCGTGTGACTTAAATCAAGAGCCGCATCAACCTGTTAACAACCTTGACAATCATTATTTGCAAATCCATCTGATAACAACCTTTTACTCGACATGTTTGTGTGGTAGAAAAAAAGAGTTAGAACGAGTATAAATAAAACATAAACTCTAGGCATTAAGTATCTCCAGTGTTAAAGCTATTAATCATCGTGAATTTAAATTAGCTATTCTTTGGAGGATTTTCTTTGAACTTAATTCCATGGCTAGAACATGAAAAATCAAGAGACAATTACTCCACAATAAACCAACTTTGCCAAACTTCCTTACACGTTCTAGATATATCTGAAAGATCAACCAAACAAATAAACAGGCCCTTTAGCATGTTCCCTTGCAATGTTCAATTCAGTGATGCATTTCAGCAACAATGGGAATGTTTTTTATTGCCATTCTAACTAGCCACAGGAATCCCAATAAAAGAAAATAAATCCAGGACTTAAAAAATCATTATGTAGTTGGATCTCTTTATATGCGAATAATTTATGCATTAGATTGTATTAAGCCTCGATTATAGCAAACTTATTAGAATAAAGACCAAATATCCCACATTTCAGAATCAACAGAATTAACAACCTCTACTTAAACTGAACCATGTTGTGATATGCTATCACTGTACAATACAATAAAATGACAGAATAAACCTTTATTTTAGTATCATTGTAACTATAAGTGATGTACTTCTCAGGAAATGACCACCAAAATGAACTACACAGCCTAATGAGCTTGTATAAAAAACTAAACATTATAAGATTAAAATAGTTCAGATGCATTCAGATTCAACTAGCTAAATGAAGCACAACCAACGAGTGAATATACCATAGAGAAAAAGCAAGAGATGAGAATACCTCATCCAGTATATAAAGAGGAGCTGGCTTGAATAGAAGCAATGCTAAAATCAAAGATAGTGCTAGTAGAGATCTTTGACCTCCACTCAGTTCTGACAAGGACTGTTTCCAAACACCTCCAAAAGCAACACAAACTTCTAGACCATCAAGGAAGCTACCACCTTCAGGAGGTTCTAGCTTTGCCATTGTACCAGGTAACAATGTAGAAAAGATTGATCCAAAGTCCCTGAAGAAAGTGAAGATTAAGAGTGATTAAATTGTGTTGACCTCCGTCAAGAACCATCAATAGGGACGGGAATGATAAAATATAATTAAAAAAAAAAACACAAAATAGGAAGCAGATAACTAGCACGAAACAAACTCACTTGTTAACTTTGACCCAAGTAACTTTTAGAGTTTCCTTCTTCTTCTCATCTAGCTCTTCAATCACCTTCTTGATTTTAGACTTGTCATTCTAGGCAACGAAAAATTAGCATGAGTAAGGAGAATGTAGAACAATGTTTAGACAAATAGAGTGTACAAACCTCAATAATGTTTTTCTTCGACATCAAATCATTGTACTCATCTTCTGCTTTCTCAAACATTGCCATAACTTTCTTGTTGACCCTTTTCTCCAGGCTTCATATGATGAAAAATAAAAAGAATAATTACAAAAGCAGTCACAACTTAGGTTCATAAAAGGCAACAAAACTATGACATTTCTGTTAAGCATATGAACGTTAAAGAAAGTTACACACCCTGATTGCTCGGCTTGCAGTTTCTCAAGCTCTTCCCTTGCTCTAAAAGGATCACGGGATGAAAAATCATAATCTGTCCCACTTCTCCCAAATAGCTGTTTCTCAGATGCAATCCAGGCATGCTTCTCAATCAATCTGTCAACCTTTGCAGAGCAATCTTTCTGCTCCATCTCCATCCGCTTTACCTATTATAGAATTTAAAAAGTTGCAGTACCTCACACTATTAAAGGAATGTGTACAAAATACTAAGCAATATTACCTCATTTTCCAGCTTCTTCCTCTCAAGCTTTGTCTCACTGAGCTTATGTTGAAGTTTCTGCTGCTCCTTTACAATGCCACTAATCTGGGAATCACATTCCTTCATCTTTAAACGAATCGAATTGAGCTCAGACTGCGCCTGATCATGATTATTCCGAGTAGAAGCAACCTACAACAGAAAGTCATATTGCATTGTTTTTATGAAACAGAATTTGTCAATTTAGAGATCAGGGTCTACCTTGGCTTTTTGTGCTTCAACTTCTGAAGAGAGACCATTAATCTGCCTTCTCAATGCAGCTAATTGATTCTCTAAAGATGCTTGTTCCTTGGTGATTGCTTCCTGCTCCATGATAAGTCTCTCTCTTTCATTTTCATGCCCCTACTAGTCACAAGAAGTTCAAGAGCTATTAAGAGTGGGAACCTATAACTACCAACATCAGAACAACAGAAAAGGTTGCAGGCAAGAGTAATACAAGATGAAATAATTACAAGGTCTAATTTCATGTCATATAAGAAGGAAAACTCTGTTCCACAAAGTATGGATCTCAAGTATAGCATCATTTCATTATTATAGTAATATCACACACACACACATACACACACCTGTGTGTGTTTTTGTGTGTGTGTATCCTTGACAGTTTAAACTGATGAAAATTTCAAGAGAACTGAACTAAACTACTACAGAAAAAGAAAACAAAGGCATCTCAATCACACAGGACATAAAATCCCACTTTTCAGGTGTAGGGAATGACAGTTTCTGACACAAAGATGGCAAAATATAAAACAAAATCTAGCCAGAATCAAGAAAAACACCGCAAGACAAGATATTGTGGGCAATCTAATGGTAGACTCAACAGCAACAAAACCTACCTTTAGATCCTTTGAAGCTGACTGCATTTGTACTTTTACAGCCTTAATCTTTTTCTCTAAATCCTTGAGCCTGCCCTCTCGATTATTATCATGCTCTTTGATTGATTTCTCAAGCATTGACACTGTACTAACACAGTTTTCATACAAAACTTGCTTCTCTGTGGCGGCAGCTTTTGCTTCTTCAAGCTCTTGTTCAATCTTCTTTACCATCTCGCCAAGCTATATTTCAGCCACACAAGATGAATAAATGGAAATAAAATATATAGTAATATACAGTATTATAAGTGTACATGATGAGATGAGGCAGCAGGATGACTAAAATGCATGGAATATGATATCCAAAACAGAAGAAAGATGCAAACCTTGTGATGCTCATTTTGCTCAGCCCTGCCCTGGAATAATGAAAGATCATATGATTTAAGCTCTAACTGTGCTTTAAGGTCCATAAACTTTTTCTGAAGAGGCAGAAGTTCCTTGATCTGAAATGGAAGATAGGAAAATGGTAAGGAAGATTCTAAAAACTGTCACAATATATTATTTGCATAAAAGAAAGACCCTGTTACGAGTAAGAACTTAAAAACCACAGAAACTACATCAGTAACATAATGGATAAATGATCCAAAACATAGGAACTATAATTTATATTTCTCTAGTTAAATGTTCTATGCATTTGTATTCCAACAGAAGATTATGTTCCACATGACATAAACAAATGCACTAGTCAAAGATAAGCATACAAAACATAAAAATCTAAAGCATCAATCACAAATTATATCAACTGACAAATTCATGAAAAATACAAGTCAGAGGACTTGTACAGATGCTTCACATTAACAAAAAAATGCTAATCTCTTCACTTCTAAATTGGAAAAGAAAAGAGGTTGTTACCTTTGCTTCAATTTCAGATAGCCTTTTCTGATGTATTAATATGTTAGATTCAGCCTCCGCTAAATTATGAAGTTGCCTTAACAGATCACCTCCACCCCTGCAACAATAAATTTATTTTACAAGGTTCACAAATTGGAAGCAAGCAAAACACTTGAAAGCATATTTTAGTGCCATGTTAATTATATAATACTTGGAAGTATAAAATTGCAAAAATATGAAGAAAAAAAAAAAGAATCCGGGAGATCATCTACCTCCAAGCCCCACTTCAGACAAGTTAGAGAAAAAAAATACAGAAAAACCCATTTGAAACATTACAACAAATAAAATCAAGCAAAGCACTTACTTGCGGCTTCCACCTGTTAGAAGACCACTGGGCTGAAATATATCACCTTCAAGAGTAACACTTGGGGTGCGAATTTCACGACTAAAAGCAACCTGCAAAATATCCATTATAATGCAGGTCATAATGAATATATTAACAAACAAAAAGTTATGTTGTATGATTACTGAAAATGATTCAAATAAACAGCCCAAATTCATTACAGGTGATATAATTTTAAGATGATGGCATCTTAGGGTGCACAAGTAAAGCCAACTAAGGTTATCGAAGATCTCACTCACCTCCCAGTGACTTCTTATACGATTAATCTATCAAAATCTCATAAAACAATTATAAAATTACATTTGAGAAATTGAATACAAATTCTGATATGCAAATACCTCAGTATTATTTGACATCTTCTTCAACAAGTTTAAGGCCAAATTGTAAGAAAGATAATAAAAATGAAAAAAAGTAGACTTCAGAAACCCCGTGGTACCAAACCCAAAGTTAAATATAGTGATATACTATTTGTACATAAGATGGCACATTAAGTTCACTTCTAAACTTTATAAACTTTCACATTAAAGAGCTCTATTAAAAAAATAAAAAATAAAAATAAAATACTGGTTTTTTATTCAATCTCTAGGAATAACACCCAACAAAGTGGCAGTTCTTTAATTTATTGCAGCTGAGTTTAAAATGGATCAAATGCATATGGCAATTTTAAATCTAGAAGAATAAATATTGCCAGTGATCCATGGTATAAATAAAAGCCATCTTTAATATGAAACTTACTTCTCTTAATTGTATAAGCTTTGGCATAGACCATGCTACTAAATAATCTTACTTCAAACATAATCATAAAAATCAGATAAAAAGAGACAAATTGAATTAGAAACTCCCAATCAACCACATGCTCTAAGATATTTTTCTATGATAATATTTTTACTATTATATTGTTTTACAATCATTTAATTAGAAAAAGAACTAAATTGTATAGTCACAGCTTAACAATTTCAAAAAACTATCCACTACATCATATCAAACCTTAGAACAAAGAAATTGTATTATGAAATGAATTGCGCTACAAACAATGCACCGATGGATTACAAAAGATGTTGAATACCTCTTTTGCAGAATCAATGCTTTTGCAGACAAAGGTTGAACCGAAAACATATTCCATAGCGCTCTGCAATGAGAATCAATTTTCAGAGCAGAACAGTCCAATAGAGAACATGACCTAAGAGTATCTAAATTCTAATAATCCAAAAAATATATATATAAAAAGGTAATTACAACTGTAGCCATCCATTTTCCATCACTACAACATAACAAAAATGATTTTCACAACGAACTTCAAAGTTCCAAAACAACAATTGTCAAGGCAGCATATACCTTCAATTCATCACTGTAGCCAACCAAAGAAAGAGCAAGTTCCGCATTTTCCTTGCCAACCTGCATATGCAATGATAAAACCAATTATTAGAGCATGAACAAAGCTTCCTGACTTCCAATTATATTAAAAAGGTGAAAGCCAATGACTGACCAATCTAGCAGCAGCCTGCTGAACTCTGGGAGGAACAGTATTGGATTGAATTTTATTCAAAGGAATGATTGTTACTCTCCTTCGAAGATCACCATTTTGAAGCAATTGTTTTCCTGTATTTTCAGTGTCTACAATAACATTAAATAATTTTCCTCCAGCAGTCACCTGCAAGTAAACTCGTTAATAGAGAATTACCATTTGAATCTATGCTATAAAGCAAACTATATAAGACTGATTACAAACCTCTAAGGCAGTCATTGTGGAGCTATCCCTCACTTTAATGAGTTTAGCAACAACACCCTTCACCTTTGACCTATCAAAATTTTTCACAGGATCACGGTATATGAACTGCACATTTGCTAAATGTGCTGAAAGATCCCGTATATCATCCTTCAATTTCTGCACCAGCTCCATCTCAGATGCGCGGTCCTGATAATATGATATGATTCATAAACAAATTTAACCAAAAGAAATATTTTTATTATCAGTTGCAACATCAAGGGAAGAGCATACCCTTTGTAACGCTTCCATCTGGCCCTCTTTATATGGAACAGACTCCAATGCTTGTTTAACATTTTCTACATCTTTTCTTCTAACATTCAGTTCATTCTCTACAGAAACAGCTTCCTCACGCTTTGACATTAACTGATCTCTTTTCTCTTTCAACTCCTTCTCACAATGACTTATTTTAGTTTTCAGTTGTTTCAATTCGGTTCCAACACTCCCAACAGCAACCTTGGCATCGCCTAGCTGGTCTTCAAGGCATTTCTCCTCACTCCCACTGCTCTTGCCAGCTAGTACACCCTGCACTCAGAGTAATTACGGCAACTTTCTTTAAACAACTCGGTTTGCTGATGAATGACAACAATAACAATGCCAGTGGGGTAAACAAACAAATCCAATATCTTTATGGACTCCTTACCTGGTAATCTTTTTCATACTCTTCCAACCTCTTAGAAAGTTCTTCAACTCTCATTTTGAGATCAGCTGCTCCTTCTTCAGATTTTCTGACAGCAGAGGCCTTCTCTTCTACAGATTGCTTCAGATCTTCAATGTTATGAACAATCTAGCAACATCAAGATGTTGAATTAAATATGATACCAGCACNATCCAATCTCTAGGAATAACACCCAACAAAGTGGCAGTTCTTTAATTTATTGCAGCTGACTTTAAAATGGATCAAATGCATATGGCAATTTTAAATCTAGAAGAATAAATATTGCCAGTGATCCATGGTATAAATAAAAGCCATCTTTAATATGAAAGTTACTTCTCTTAATTGTATAAGCTTTGGCATAGACCATGCTACTAAATAATCTTACTTCAAACATAATCATAAAAATCAGATAAAAAGAGACAAATTGAATTAGAAACTCCCAATCAACCACATGCTCTAAGATATTTTTCTATGATAATATTTTTACCATTATATTGTTTTACGATCATTTAATTACAAAAAGAACTAAATTGTATAGTCACAGCTTAACAATTTCAAAAAACTATCCACTACATCATATCAAACCTTAGAACAAAGAAATTGTATTATGAAATGAATTGCGCTACAAACAATGCACCGATGGATTACAAAAGATGTTGAATACCTCTTTTGCAGAATCAATGCTTTTGCAGACAAAGGTTGAACCGAAAACATATTCCATAGCGCTCTGCAATGAGAATCAATTTTCAGAGCAGAACAGTCCAAAAGAGAACATGACCTAAGAGTATCTAAATTCTAATAATCCAAAAAATATATATATATAAAAAGCTAATTACAACTGTAGCCATCCATTTTCCATCACTAAAACATAACAAAAATGATTTTCACAACGAACTTCAAAGTTCCAAAACAACAATTGTCAAGGCAGCATATACCTTCAATTCATCACTGTAGCCAACCAAAGAAAGAGCAAGTTCCGCATTTTCCTTGCCAACCTGCATATGCAATGATAAAACCAATTATTAGAGCATGAACAAAGCTTCCTGACTTCCAATTATATTAAAAAGGTGAAAGCCAATGACTGACCAATCTAGCAGCAGCCTGCTGAACTCTGGGAGGAACAGTATTGGATTGAATTTTATTCAAAGGAATGATTGTTACTCTCCTTCGAAGATCACCATTTTGAAGCAATTGTTTTCCTGTATTTTCAGTGTCTACAATAACATTAAATAATTTTCCTCCAGCAGTCACCTGCAAGTAAACTCATTAATAGAGAATTACCATTTGAATCTATGCTATAAAACAAACTATATAAGACTGATTACAAACCTCTAAGGCAGTCATTGTGGAGCTATCCCTCACTTTAATGAGTTTAGCAACAACACCCTTCACCTTTGACCTATCAAAATTTTTCACAGGATCACGGTATATGAACTGCACATTTGCTAAATGTGCTGAAAGATCCCGTATATCATCCTTCAATTTCTGCACCAGCTCCATCTCAGATGCGCGGTCCTGATAATATGATATGATTCATAAACAAATTTAACCAAAAGAAATATTTTTATTATCAGTTGCAACATCAAGGGAAGAGCATACCCTTTGTAACGCTTCCATGTGGCCCTCTTTATATGGAACAGACTCCAATGCTTGTTTAACATTTTCTACATCTTTTCTTCTAACATTCAGTTCATTCTCTACAGAAACAGCTTCCTCACGCTTTGACATTAACTGATCTCTTTTCTCTTTCAACTCCTTCTCACAATGACTTATTTTAGTTTTCAGTTGCTTCAATTCGGTTCCAACACTCCCAACAGCAACCTTGGCATCGCCTAGCTGGTCCTCAAGGCATTTCTCCTCACTCCCACTGCTCTTGCCAGCTAGTACACCCTGCACTCAGAGTAATTACGGCAACTTTCTTTAAACAACTCGGTTTGCTGATGAATGACAACAACAACAATGCCAGTGGGGTAAACAAACAAATCCAATATCTTTATGGACTCCTTACCTGGTAATCTTTTTCATACTCTTCCAACCTCTTAGAAAGTTCTTCATCTCTCATTTTGAGATCAGCTGCTCCTTCTTCAGATTTTCTGACAGCAGAGGCCTTCTCTTCTACAGATTGCTTCAGATCTTCAATATTATGAACAATCTAGCAACATCAAGATGTTGAATTAAATATGATACCAGCACATGGCATATAATAGTAGGAAATGAACAGAGAACAAAGACTTCAATGAATAGTCACGGCAAATATACAGGATTACAAGTATAATAAGATAAGAAACACCTTTTCAGCATTCTCTTTCTCACTCCTGAGTGTGTCGTCCTTGTTATTCATTACAGACACTTCACGCACAAGATCTTGAGATAGTGCATCTACTTTCTCAGACAAAATTTTGACTTCTCCACCCATGCTGGCTTCCTTTTCAGCAGACAAGTTTGACACTTGCTTTTCCATTTCCTGTATTTCCAACCGTGTCCTTTCTGTATCATCATCGATTTCAGCAATCTTTGCCTTCACTTGTTCCACTTCCCCAACTGCACTGTCTCTGATATTTTCAGCTTGAACATATTCATAGGCAATGCAGAACCTTCTAAGTCGATCTAATTCAGCATTGCCATTAGCCCATTGCATGTATTGAGTCCGTTCTTTCCTTAGTTTCTCCAAAGCAGGCAATATTTCCTGGTCAAGAAGATTATTCATCTCATCAACCTTACTCTGCTTCTTCTCAAGTGTTTTCAATGCAGCCTCTTTCTTTGTTTCATACATTCTTGTCCCAGCAGCCTCTTCAAGCATAGAAAGAATTTCTGGGGGTTTCATATTTAAGACCTTGGTGATTCGACCTTGCATTATGAGAAAATGTGGATTGTTAACATTGAGCTGCACTGAATGAAAGAGGGTTTGGACTTGACTAGGCTGAGAAAGTTTTCCATTGATAAGATATTTGTTCCTTCCACCAACCACAATCTGCATTGAAGCAAATACATTTCAACATATATAGATGCATTTTCAATGAAGAACCATAGCAGTCAAAATTGTCATCTACTTACTATACTCACATTAAAATGATACAGCTTGCTCTACAGATATTTATTTTCAGGCATACATACCATAATTCAATTCTAAGATCCAAGCACATCAACACTAATAATCCTTGTAATGTGGAATATGAAGTAACCCATAATGGAAATAAAGATTAAATTTCTGATGAAATTCCAGAATCATAAGCAACCTCACATTATTTTAAAGAAAACCAGTAAACAAATTAAAAATAAAAAATAAGAGAGAGAGAGAGATGTTTAAAACACCTAAACGTACAGTCAATTTAAACCAAAAGTTTACCATAAAAATAACCAAAGAAAGTCACCATCCCACATGTTTGCCTAATTTAAAATTCTTAACAAATCAATTTACTTACTTGTAAACCTAACAAACTCTATAAAGTACATATAAAATGCCAACTCTAAAATTTCATAAAGTGATAATATTAAAAAGCTCAAAAAAAGGCATATTCCTACAAGGAGTCAACATAATTGTGACCAACCTGTCGAGTGACAGTAATCTCTGGATGATCCTCATACCCGAGAGGGCTTCTATTCCTATCAGAATTATCAAACACAATAGACACAGTAGCTTTAGTAATTCCAGCTTGGCCTTGCTTGTATACGAGTTCCTGAAGGTTCGAAGCACGAACCTGTTGCAAATTGGTTATGCCCAAAACAAAGCAAATCGAATCCAGAATATTCGATTTTCCTGACCCATTTAGACCCGTTATCGCATTAAAATACGGATCAAAACCTGGTACCACTGTCCTTGACGCATAGGATTTGAACCCCTCCAAGCATATCTCTTTAATGTACATTTTCCCCAATTCTTATGCCGCTGAAAATAAAGAAGGAAACAATAATAAATATACGGACTCAGAAACACAAGAAGTGGAGATAAATTATAAACAAGGTTGAAAAGTAAATATAAAAAAATCCCTGTTAGCTTACCTAACTGCGGACAAGAAATGAATTATCTTTTTGTTCAGATCTTAGAGCTAAAAAAAAAAAATTTGAAATTTGAAATCCTAAACTTTAAAACTCCAAAAAAATATATTGTAAAAAATCCCATGCAAATCAGAGAAATTAACTGTGAAATGGTTTATGGGCTTACCTTGAAAGCGACCGAAGCCAAGAATTGGAGTGAAATGAAGTCTGGGAGTTGGAGAGGTTGTAAGTGAAGGGTTTCTGAGTTTGAAACCCTAAAATTGGAGAGTTGAATAGGTACCGAGACGGAAACGTTAAAGATAGGAGGTGAATTTTATTTTTTTTTAACTTTTTGGGGGTGATGAATTTGAAATTTGATAGCTTAAGAAGCAAATGGGTTTCAGTGAGGCCTACTGTCGGATTTTGTGAAGTTGGAAGTGAAGAAGCAAGAAGCGGGAAAATTATTTTGTTGTTGTTCGATTTCGAATTATTTGAGACATCGATATTGGCGCCAATGCGCTGGGCTGGCCCGGCCCAGGAATTTAACCACTTTAAGTCCGTATATATTATGGGAAGTGATTCTTAGATCCAATATTTTTTATTTTTTATTTTTTTAGTATTTGGGATGTTTGACTTTTTGTGCCCATCTTAATTTATCTTCCAAAACCTTAAAGTTAACGATCAGATAAGTTTTCAGTGATTATCTCTTATTAATAGTCATGGGGATTCGAATTCAAAATTTCTTGAGTAATCTATTCAAAAGTCTCAAACGAACAATCAAACTACCTGTAGTAGTTAGTTTCATCATTAGCTCCCAGACAAAATAAAATAGCTTTAGCTCACCCCTGTTTTTATCATTACCAGAAGTTTGGGATTCCAGCCAATAGTTAATGGTGGCACTTGAAGATGAAAGCTTTCAACGCCTGCTCACTTCCTCCTGTTCAACTACTTTCATTCATTCCTTCTTCCAATCACTTTATTTTTACACCATTTATCTCACTTTACTCCAATTTATAAGAATTTAGAATTAGTGTTGGTTGAAATTTTAAAAGAAAAACATTTTACAGTTTTTATAGTTTGGGTAATTCCCCCGAGCTTGAGATTTTCTTTGAAATTTTGTTTATTTTGATTGGTTCATACTAAAGGCATTAAATTTTTATTCTAAATATCAGTATTTACTTTCTCTTAAGAGTTACATAGTTAACAGCATGTTTGGTTCGTTATTTTTATTCCTATTCTGGATCGGATTATTAAAATAATATTTGATTTATTTTTTTCAAAACTCTATCCCCAAAACATGATCCTGACACAAGTTTGAATTGTCGTAGTTGTTAATGGAGTATACGTGTAATAATGATTGTAAGGATTGATAGTTAGTACTTTTGTTATATATGTATTAATGTGATGTTTTTAAACAGTTGGATTAGTACTTGAAATTAATATGAGTTTTTGTTTTTTAATATCTACGGGTGACAAAATTACCAATAAAATATTTAGTATTATTAAAATATAACTTGATAAGTTATATATATAATAATAAATTATTTCAACAAAATTCAACAAAATATTATATTAATAAATCATTTATAAAAAAATATATTAATCAAATATTCAACACAAATATCAAGGTCAAAATACTCAACCAAACACATATTCTATAAATCATATTCTCGTAATCATAACCCTATCCAACTATCCAATCCTATCCCCAAAATCCTATCCAAAATAATGAACCAAACGCACCCTAAGAAAATTTTCTTTGTAGGATTATCATGATTTAGAAATCTTAAATAAAAAGATAAATTAAAATTTTTTGACCCTTTTTAAATTGAAGATGGGGCTTAAAGATCACTTCCCTATATTCTCAGGTTATTTTTGTATGTGGATATATAATCAAATATCACTGACCCTACAAAACAAAATTTCTTACAAATATATATTTGACATTGTGCTAATTATTTATTTACATGCTATCATGAACTAGCCCCACACAAAGATGAAAAACCCCAACTGTAATTACTCTGGGAAAAGCACTTTCAGAAGCTAAGAACATTCACATATACAATACAACTCAGAAGTTTCCAAAGGCATAATATTATAGACTAAATTGAACTTATTCATTGCTTTGGTAAAAGGAAAGTCTATTCTACAATTCATCAACCTCAAAATTTAACGCAACTCTCCCATTCTACAGACAATTTACAAGGTATACAAGTTTCTGAGTATGCTCTCAGTGGCTCTCTCACTTTGTATACGATACAACATCTCTTATTTGAAATATAAAAATTGATTATACTCAAGAAAAAAAAAAAAAAAGAAAGGAGAACCACCACAATCAAAAATACCATTTTGGTCTTTCTTCCAGTTCTTTGTCTGTCAAGTCCTCATACTGGTACCACTTTGCTCCAGCCTTGCCAACTGGCAATGGATTCCGAACAAACACTTCAACAGGCCTGGGGACACGGACGGCCAAATGCAGTTCTTTAGAAGTTTCATCTAATTTTATATCAGAAGTTTTGAGTGATCTGCAAATAGGCTCAACTGTAATCCATCCCAGACCAGAGATAGCCACATCACTGGCAGGCCTGTCCAACCAAAGCACAATGGAACTTTTACATGTTTTGACTTGGGTAAATTAGGCATCAGCTTATGAGCCTTTTATTAATGAGGAACAAAGACAATATGAGGTAGAGACATATTAATCTATATTGCACAATAAGCATAATTTCAGTTATACCTTTCCAGATCTTCAAATTTTATTTGCAGTAGGCGCTCTATTTCAAGTCCTTTCCAACCGTCTGCTCTTTGTTTTCCAGTTGGAGGTGTCAACAGAACACCAAGTTCTTTCTGCAGCAATTCAATGAATAACTCTATTGACATTAAAAATGCAAGAATATACAATTGCCACAGATGCCACAGATGCCATTAAAGGAAAACAAACAAATAAATGATAAGTTGAAAGCAAATGGACTTATAGGAAGACAAGATAAAAACTTCAATATAACAACTTTCTAATTATCAAATGGCAACAGCTATAATGGCGTTTGTTTAATGATATATTATAAACAACACCAGAATGTTCATGCAGCTTCAAATGTTATGCAAGAAAGAGTTCATGAAATGTGAGTTGCAATGGCAGGTAGATGATCAAAAAATGAGTGCAATGTCCTACCACTCAGATACAACCTTATTTGTTCTATGGTTGGAAAGGATAAATAAGATCAACTGAAAATCAAGACATTGTTTTTGGTAGCGAGAAAACAAACAATAGCAAATTGTACAAAACTAATTCGGCCAAGGCAAGCACTTTATAAGTATTCAAGACAACAGAAAAACAAAGTACATTTTTGTATACTAAAAATAAGTTGCAATTCTCTGATTATAGAAATACAAAGCATCAAATAACAATATGATCAACACTGAACAGTTTATCGGACTACCTGGTAAAATTCATCTGCTTTATCAGTGGGTACTACATGAATCTGCAAAGACTTGGGTCCATAGAACGTCAAACATGTATCCGGGAGGACCTGAAAGCATCAAGATACAACATAAAAAAAAGGTAAAGGATCCTTTACCAGTCAAAAAACAATATATCATGGAAACTAAAAGAGCAAAACCTTCAAGACATCAATTCTGACAAGACCTCCCCAAAATATTGTAAATCCATTCAAGCCATAGGATTTGAATTCATCTGCTTTTCCCTTTTCAGTGGCCACCTGATAATTATGGAAGCAACAAAGTAAAAATCCTGCAGATAGAGGCTAATGGTGTGATCTTAATGAAATCTTGGAAAAAACCTTACAGGAAAAGATTGACCCCTGAGCCGGTTTTGAGGAGCAAGAGCAGGTAAATCTTCTGCGTGAACAACTGCGGCTTGCCTATGATGGAGATGAACTCCAGGTGTGTCATATAATTTCTGTAGGAAGAACATGCTGATTTATAGAAGATTTCATACAATAAAATTTTATACTAATTTACTAATCCTAAAATATATGGGTTAAAACTGACTAGTTCAACAACAAAAATTAACTACAGACAAGAATGCTAACAATCTGAAGGGAAGGCAGCCTTTACAAAGTTAATGCAGTAATATGAGGGTCATACCCCACCACTAAGAAAGGCATCAATCTGAATTGGACCTAAGGTAGTTCCAGGAACAGCGGATTGTATTGGCTTCCGCTTTTCTGCCATTGCAGCAACCGGATCCCTTTCTGCCATTGTTTCTGAAATTAAACAATGATAACTATAAGTCAAAGCTTATACATGGCCAATAACTATAGGTGAAAGAATAATAACGAAAATCTCAAACATATTTCTAAATTAAGGTCAAAACATAAAATTTTTATGAACAGCATAACATATTCAGAACAAACTTTAAAGGTAACAAATATTATCAGAAATCAAGTACACTGTTCCATCTGTATCAACTATTGTCAATAATATGAATTCGTTACAGAAGAAGAAAAAAGAGTGGAGAACACATAAATAGGATATTCATTCATTGATAATGATGTAAGAACAGACCTTAACAGAACTGAAACAGAGATATGAGCATGTCAAAATTCATATTTAAAGTTAGTGTATTGTTTTTTTCTGTAACTAAAACTCTTTCTAATAAAGTTCCAAAACAGGCAAAATAGGTTATTGTCAGCTTGAAGAGAAAATAGACCAACTCTGTCAATTTACCAACAGAAACTATGTCATCCCTATTGTTCCATTTATCATATTTAGGTCAATGAATGGAAATAATGACTTTATTTCAAATTTTGAAACAGAAAAGACAGATAATTCCCACAAGAACAAAACCTATTTACTTGACTCCCGTAATCACCCACCACATATTTAAGTCAAGAATATATTAAATACATCAATTTTTGTGGACATGAGAAGTAATCATTGCTCGATCACAGATTTGTTTTCTCCCAGAAAATTCTATGTTGTAGCATAATTGGGTTTTGGACTCAGAACACGTATAAACACCAAATTTCTGTGAATTTCAAAAAGGTTGTCCAAAGACCATATAATGCAGTGAAAATATTGCAACAGAAACTTTTGACACAAAACCTTATTCTGAAACTGAAGTTGCCACTATGCCCTTAACGATTTAGTTACATCTTTTTTCCTTTTTTATTTTCTTGAACACAGAGTTACATCAACTTAATCAACATAATATAAATAACATTAACTTACTCAGTAATGCATTGATGAATGCAGATTTCCCAACATTAGCTGACCCCTGCAGCAATAATGAAATTGAAGAATTAGAAAATCATAAATGCCCAATAAAAGATTATACTGTTTCAAATTCATAAAATCACAGCAGAATTACAAACAATTTAACTCTTGAGACCAAAAACGTACTTAAGAGAATTGGAAGATGAACGGCAGAAGAAGATATTACTGTTTTGAATTTCGGTAACGTAATGCTTATACAAATTGAAATAAAAAAAAAAATAATAAAAAAAAAAAAAAATCATACCAAACTCTTTACAGATTGATTTCAAAAACGACTAGTATCTCGACTAGTATCTAAGGAGTAGTGAGTTAGTTCTCTGAAAGTAATATTGGTCAATCAAGCAGTTGCTTGTTTTAAATTCTTGGGGAATGGAGAGAAAGTATTAAGGCGCACAAGTTAAATCTGAAACAAGTATGAAGCAGTTTAAACATAAATCAACAAGGGTCTTTCAAAACTTGTAAACCAGATGATATTCCCAGCATGTCTACTCCAGCAAACCAATGTGAAGCTGCCAGTTCAGAAGGTTACTAACCAGAATGTAAACGTCCCGCCCCTGCACCACAAGAGTCTAAGTTAAGAACTAAAGAAAATCATGGTTTCATTATTTCATGAAAACAGCTAAGCTTATTCCCAGGATATGAATTCGGAATTATTTATTCCCTGCAATGTAATATTAATATATATTTTAATATACTTAAAGCTTAACAATAGACAACACAAAGTTCAAATTACTAGCTCTTCTAATAATGGCAAGGTACAATTCTCAAGGTTTTGAATCACAGAATTAGACATATTTAGGAGAACTTTGAAACTGATGTGAGCACCAATATTCATTAAACTTTCTGCATCAGTAACCTACTAATTCATGCATGCACTCCAAAGAAGATTACTTAAGAGAACAATATCAGTAAGAACCAACACAAAATAACTGAGAAATATCAACTGCAGGTATGCAAATAATTTTTTTGTAATAAGTACCTTTTTTTCCTTTTGAATCTCTGATGCTACTCCAGCAATTCCTACTAAAGACTTGGAACTGGTGAGATGTACACTCAAGACGCTGCAAAAATAGCACAGTCCCAGATATTTAGAACAAAGCTTCCAAATTTAAATCATAAAACCCAAAACCTTATAGTAAAAATTTAGAAAATGCTTCGAAACACACCAAAGCCTAACACCAAATACTTAGGTCAAAAACATGGTTTCTTGTCTGTCATTAAGAATACCAGTCAAATCAGGGAAGATAGAAAAAACCATCAAATCATAGGCAAGGAGCCAAAACTTACTTGAGCTTCTTTTTCATTGTGGCCTCTACGACCCAATCGCCAATACAATTAAGATCAGTTCCTTTTGGAAGAAGATCAACCTAATGGTAATAACTAAAGCATGAATAATTTGAGCAATTTAATATCAGAAACTACGAATTGACATGATAAACTTCAGCAATCACCAATGTGATAATGATTACCTTAGTTACAACTAATATTATAGGATTTCCACCAGCAAGATCACGAATGCGAGACAAAAAGCTCCCATTGAAATCCACAATATCAACCTAAATGTCATTAGCCAAAAAAATTAGAGGAAAATATTAATTTATTTCACAGAATATCCAGTGGATTAGTAATTTCAGGATATAGAGTTAAAAACATAGAATTGTATGCCCAATTTTTTTCTATTATTATTTTTTTTTCCATTTTTCTAGACCCAGATTTTTTTAACATACACTTGACTTGATTAACAAAGGTCAAAATTCAGGTATGCTCACCAATTTAACAATTAAAGCTTTCTCATGACGCAAGTGAGATAGCTTCTCCCTAAGCTCATCGGCTGAAACAAACTGCTTCCCTCCAGAATAACCTCCATTTCCACCAACAGCAGTTATCATGTGGCCATGGGATAAAAGCCGGCACCTCCCACAAATCACAGTGTTCAGCTGATGGTGTTTCTTCTTCTGCAAGCCAAATGTAAACATTCAGTAAGCGCCCTCACAGCATCCAGCTTTGAATTTCCCCATACAATGATACAAATTCATAAATAGGCAACAAAACCCATTTCGAAAAATCATTCCTCAGAAAATAAAGTTCTCGCCCCTACAAAACATCAGGTCTGTAATCTCATGTCTCTCAACTGTCTGCATTCTTTAAATTGACATGTTATACAACTTATTAGTTATTTAATTAATGTCAATTTTTAAGTGCATAGGTAAACACCAAACAATAGTATTTAAGCTGTAACATCCTCGGGATAAGATAAAAACGAAAAACCCTTAAAATTCTAACTAAACCCAGCAACCCATTGAAAAATAACATGGCTCAGCTTAATACCAATTCATACATATCCGGGTCCACATAACCCGGGGCATCCGACTCCGAGGTTTGCAACGGAGCTCCACAACCATAGCAAGAAGCAACAGCCGTATTAACCTTCAAAACCTTCTCTTTCTTCCTCTTCTTCTTCTTATTCTCTTTTATGACTGCCTTAGCAGCCTCCCTAGCTTGTTGAAGTTCAAGAAACCGATCTCCTCGGGTCGGGGCAGCTGCCCCGCTGCCTTCGGAGTCGAATTGGGTGTCTGATACAAGCGTGGATTTGCAATAAAAGAGAGGGGGTTTAGTGTGAATTTTAAGGAATTTAGGGGTAGAGTTTGTAAAGAGGTGGTGGTGGTGGTAAGGGAGAGAGAGAGGAGATAAAAATGTTGAGAGAGTTTTAAGCGCCATTGCTCGGTGGGTTACCGTTGGGCGTTGGTTCCGCCGAGAAGACAAGACAGTACGTTCTGGTTTGGAAAGATACAGAGATGAGGCCGCACTTCAGAGCTTTGAGTATTACACAGATATATCATATATGTATATAGAGTCCTTTTATTTTTCCATAATTACTTATCGTCCCTATAATTTCTTCAATATTACTTTCTCTGCCTTGGTAATAATCCTCGTTTCTTTTTGTGTTTTGTCTGTTTGTACGACTTAGTTATACACATAGCATTATTTATTAATTAATGCCTTAGTGTCAGGATGTTTGGACCAACTTGTGCACATCTCAACTAATTTTTCAGGACCTTAAAATTGACAATCGGATAAATCTCCTCAATGACCACCCTTATTAACAACCCAGATATATCGAACTCGCTATCCAGTGATGATTTATCCCCTAGTGCCCGTGCACTCGGAATAATTAAAATTCACTAATTCTATCATTAAAAATGTATTTACAAATCAGATTTCATAAATGAAACAACAGTTTAGCATTACATAACAATGCTACTAGCCAATCCTAAATCCTAACAAATACAAAAATTCCACCAAAGTTAAAAGTTCAAAATTGGCACTAATCAGTAATCACACCCCAATCCCCTCTGAAACCTCTCTGACTGAAATTGAATCAGGGCCTTGAACAGGAAACACCACATTATCATACACAAGTCCTGCAACTGCGGCTCCAAACAGAGGTCCAACCCAGTAAGCTGCTTGGTTTTTGAAACTCCCAGCGACAATCGCCGCCCCAAAGGCGGACGCCGGGTTCATCGACCCACCGGAGAACGGCCCTGTCGCCAGGACATTTGCTCCTGCCATCATCCCAATTGCCAGTGGCCCAATGGCGGTCAATGGACCGCGCCTTGGGTCACCAGCAGCATAAACTGTGTAAACCAAAGCAAAAGTTATAACACCTTCCAATAAAGACGCCCCAAATCCTGTCATTTCTTGCGCAATTTCGTAGGTTGGAACGGGCTGCAAAATATCAAACATTCCGAACATAAAACTAGAACAATATTATTCAAGTATAAAATTTTCCCCTTAATTGTCCAGATTATTTGTTACCTGGCCAGCGGTTGTAACTCTCAAGAAAAGGCAAGCCATGACAGCGGCGAGCATTTGAGAAAACCAGTAAAAGAGAGCCATTACCACACTCAGGTGTCCACAAACCGCCTTGGCGAAAGTGACAGCCGGATTCACATGTCCACCGGAAACATTTGTAGCAATATAAACAGTCGATGACAGCGCAAAGGCGTTTGCAATGGCAACTGTCATAAGACTAGATGGATTTGCAGCCACATCAGGCATCAACTTCCCTGTCACACCAAAACCATTGAACATTAACTTCAAGAAAACTTTAATTACAGCGTCTTGAAAATAAGCGAAAAATTGGACAGTTTTCAGAACTCGCTTGAAGCCATGGAAGATCCTACAGCGGCAAACACATAAAAGAAAGTTGAGATGAATTCTGCAAGATAAGCTCTGAGAGCATCTTTGGTGACCGAATGATAGAGACGCTCAGAAAGTGCTGTTGGGGCCATTGTAATTTCTGCAAAAGAGCATGAAAAATTGAGAGGCCTTTAGCGGAGACTGAAACAAGTATTTATAATTGCAGAATGGTTGCAATGCTTCATGAAGAAGCTCGTAAAACTTTCAAAAAACTAACCGCAGACCACGTGGCCGTGTATGATTGTGCGTTTAGATTTTGGACCGTTTATACCGTTATTATATTTTTCAGAATTATTAATACATCCTTAAAAATTGAAATAATTATAAATATTATCCTAATTGTTATTTATTATAGCTTGAGTAAAGTACTTTTTCCCATCCAAATAATACTTTAATGACACTTTTTCATCCAACCTTTTAAAATACAATTTTACTACTCAAATATATATTTTGTTTTCGATTCTGGTATCGTTACAATCCTATACCACCACTATTCTCTTCTCTGATCATTATTCACCAATACCTCTCAAACTCTTCTCCCGTCAACCCAATCAATCATCAGGTGATTAGGGTTTGCATAGCTGTCTCTCTTAAGCCAAATTTTGATAAATCTTAACTACCAAAATTCAACATTCCATCATAAAAAAACACACCGATCTCCCCTCTTTAAAATTCTTAATAATCTGGACCAAATTTGCTCTTTTTTCGTAGCTAAAATATAAATTTTGATAGTAAAAAAATATTTTAAAAGTCTCTAGATGAGAAGTGGATTAAACCATTATTTGGTTGAGAAAAAATTGGTTAAGTCATTATTTTAAAGAATAATTTTAGGGTTTAAATTAGAAGAGTTTTTAATCAACCCCAAGCCGGCGGACGGCGGTGCAGTCCTTGATTTGGGTGAGCCCAATTACTGGTTGCACGTGCGTCACGTGCAAACGAAGAATATAAATTCCAATTAGGAAATAACAGAACATAGTTGCGAAGGTTGCTTCACTGTTTACAGACTTACAACTCGAGTTCATCCCAGATTTCTTATTTGGAGGCAATTTCAGGCTGCCAGATCCGCGAACCAACGGCGAAGCTACCCGGTTAAATCACAAATGTTCCGGCAACAGGTAATTATTTCTCTTACTTTTCTTCACAATCTCATTTAGTTTCGTTTTAATTTGATCTAGAAATTGATTTATGTTTCCAGAAAGGTGAGTGATGTTTATTATGATTCGGTTTAATTCAAGTTTGTAGTAGTAAATACTACTAAAGTTAGTAGTTATAATGGTTTCATTTTTTTTTTTTTTTCTTAATTCTTTTTTATGGTTGAAATGAATCTGAAAAGACTAATTCGGTTTTATTCAAGTTTGTAATAGTAAAAACTACTTAATTTTATCTGCAAATACTAACCCATAAATATTTGTGGGTATTAAGCGTCTCTAAAACTTCAGTTTCTCTTTCGCTGCTCCTCGCAATAAGTTTTGTTACAACCTTTACCATTGATTTTCTGTTTTTATCAAGAGGTAAGGATGATTTGTTTCTTTTATTTGGAGTGTTTTAGGGCCCCTTTTTGTTTTTTTGCTTTCTCTCTGTATTTTACAGTTACCTTTTGCTGAAGGGTAATATACCAATTTGTTTGGAAATGATAATTTTGTTATTCATAAAGACGGAGTATCTATAATTTTACCTCTAGATGAAAAAAAATGTTTTTGTAGTGTTGTTTTGGGCTTGTTTATTATTTTTCCGAGTTCATTTTCTCTTATTTCTGTGCCATTGTTTCTGTTTTCTTTGTGAGGTGTTTACACAAGGTGTAGATTTGTATCACGAGATTTGTGCCATAGTTCTTCTAGTTTAATAACCTTTTTTCTGGTTGAGCTATCCATGGGCTGCAGTTATTGGAAGTAAAATGCGTTTATTCTGTCTAGATCTGCTAAAAAAATGTTTATGTCTTCTTTCTAGATGTCTAATGATGAGGAGAACCCACAAGTTGGCAAAACTTCAAATGGTTCACAAGCTTCATCTCTGACCAATCAAATCCAAGTGACCTGGTATAATGCCTTACTTCAGCAAGCTTCCATCTATGGTGTAGCTGCCGGGTATTGCCTCTCAGCTTCTTTGCTCTCCATTATCAACAAATGGGCTGTCATGAAATTTCCTTATCCAGGGGCACTAACTGCTTTACAGTACTTCACAAGTGCAGCCGGTGTCGTCCTTTGTGGGCACTTCAAGTTCATAGAGCATGATGCACTTGACCTTTTGACCATGTGGCGGTTTCTACCAGCAGCCATTATATTTTACCTCTCACTTTTCACTAACAGTGAGCTCCTCCTCCATGCCAATGTTGACACTTTTATCGTCTTTCGTTCAGCCGTTCCCATCTTTGTAGCAGTAGGAGAGACCCTCTTTTTGCACCAACCATGGCCAGCGATCAAGACATGGATCTCACTTGCTACCATCTTTGGAGGAAGTGTGATTTATGTTCTAACAGATTACCAGTTCACTGTCATGGCATATAGCTGGGCTTTAGCTTACTTGGTAAGCATGTCGATAGACTTTGTTTACATAAAGCATGTGGTAATGACAATTGGTTTGAATACATGGGGTCTTGTTCTGTACAATAATCTTGAGGCTCTCCTACTGTTTCCTTTGGAGCTACTTATTATGGGGGAGTTGAAAAAAATAAAGCATGAAATCTCGGATGAGTCAGATTGGCACTCTTTTGAGGTGGTTTTGCCTGTGGGGTTATCATGTTTGTTTGGTTTGGCAATATCTTTCTTCGGGTTTTCTTGTCGAAGGGCAATTTCTGCAACAGGCTTTACAGTTCTCGGTATAGTGAATAAGTTGTTGACTGTTGTGATTAATTTGGTTATTTGGGATAAACATTCAACATGGGTGGGAACAGTTGGACTTTTGATTTGTATGCTAGGTGGTGTTATGTATCAGCAATCTACTAGCAATAAACCCAAGGCTGTGACAGAAACTAAGGCACAAGAGAGTGAAGAGGAACAACAGAAGCTACTTGAAATGCAGAACACAGAAAGCAACAATATCGAGAAGAAAGTAAAAGAGTCAGAAGAAGATAAATGAGAGAGCTTCTATAGAAGGCAACATTATTTGATGCTTTGCCATTGTGTTTTTGAAGCCATTCCTGGGTCCAGAGTTGTTATTAGTATGTTCTTGGAATGGCGGCAATTTTTATCCAAGCAACTATCTGCGCATGAGCAGAATACTTCCTTACCAAAGAGAAAGGTTCAGAGGTGGTTCACATATGGCAAATTGGTGATAATATCCCCTGGATCAAGAATACTGCAATTTGTATTACATTCATAGTTGATTTTTGATTTTTACATCCAAGCAGAACCAGGTTGGGATGTTTTGTTCTTTTGTTTGTGTTACTGTAACACTTAATTCGTTCAAACAGTCTTAGTAGAGTGCATTTTTGTTAGAATGGATGTAGCGAAAATGCTCATCTAATTGAAATTGGCTTATTTGTCAATCAAATAATCTTTAAGCAATTTTTATTTTTTATTTTTTTGGATAAACCCGGTAATTGCCTCTCCAACTATTAGAACACAAGACCTTTAACTATAGTTAACCCCGATGACTAAAGGGTTTGTCATCCGATCATAAGAGGAGAGCTATCTTCAAGCAATTATTAGGTTGTAGAGATGTCTTTATTATTTTTTTTTTTTAAATGTGAAAAATTCCGAATTATTATGTTTTGAAATCTGATGAAGGCAATGTAAGGATGTGAAACTAATCCTTTAATAACCAACCCCTAGGTGGCCAGGCGGCGATCAATTGAGACTCTTGGCTGTATTACTTAAAGAGGTTTTGACTTCAATTCTCTTTAGTTGTTAATAAGGGTGGCTACTAGAAGATTACTCGGTCGTTAACTTTAGGGTCCCGAAAGATTAATTGAGGTACACGTAAGCTAATCCGGACACCTCTAGTTACCAAATAAGTAAAGAAGAAATTAACCCTTCAGTATTACTTATCTCAAGCAATAATGGTTTTCTTTCTACCGTTGTTCGATTGGGATAGGGTGAGAAAACAATTTATGATTCAAATAGATCAACCTTTGGTGCTAATTTTGCTCTTAAGAGCTGTAACGGTAACCGCTCATATTTTCTTATCTTAATTAGAATAAATAGACAGGGCAGCAAAAGTAGGCCATTAATTTTCGATATCTTCAAATATTATGTGGAAAGAATTGGAAGTTTTTACAGGTAATGATAATGAAATAAAAGAACAAAGAATATATGTAAATATAAGACTATTTTAAAGAATAATTTTAGGGTTTAAATTAGAAGAGTTTTTAGTCAACCCCAAGCCAGCGGACGGCGGTGCAGTCCTTGATTTGGGTGAGCCCAATTACTGGTTGCACGTGCAACACCTGCAAACGAAGAATATAAATTCCAAATAGGAAATAACAGAACAGAGTTGCGAAGGTTGCTTCACTGTTTACAGACTTACAGCTCGAGTTCATCCCAGATTTCTTATTTGGAGGCAGTTTGAGGCTGCCAGATCCGCGAACCAACGGCGAAGCTACCCGGTTAAATCACAAATGTTCCGGCAACAGGTAATTATTTCTCTTTCTTTTCTTCACAATCTCATTTAGTTTCGTTTTAATTTGATCTAGAAATTGATTTATGTTTCCAGAAAGGTGAGTGATGTTTATTATGATTCGGTTTAATTCAAGTTTGTAGTAGTAAATACTACTAAAGTTAGTAGTTATAATGGTTTCATTTTTTTTTTTTTTTCTTAATTCTTTTTTATGGTTGAAATGAATCTGAAAAGACTAATTCGGTTTTATTCAAGTTTGTAATAGTAAAAACTACTTAATTTTATCTGCAAATACTAACCCATAAATATTCGTGGGTATTAAGCGTCTCTAAAACTTCAGTTTCTCTTTCGCTGCTCCTCGCAATAAGTTTTGTTACAACCTTTACCATTGATTTTCTGTTTTTATCAAGAGGTAAGGGTGATTTGTTTCTTTTATTTGGAGTGTTTTAGGGCCCCTTTTTGTTTTTTTGCTTTCTCTCTGTATTTTACAGTTACCTTTTGCTGAAGGGTAATATACCAATTTGTTTGGAAATGATAATTTTGTTATTCATAAAGACGGAGTATCTATAATTTTACCTCTAGATGAAAAAAAATGTTTTTGTAGTGTTGTTTTGGGCTTGTTTATTATTTTTCCGAGTTCATTTTCTCTTATTTCTGTGCCATTGTTTCTGTTTTCTTTGTGAGGTGTTTACACAAGGTGTAGATTTGTATCACGAGATTTGTGCCATAGTTCTTCTAGTTTAATAACCTTTTTTCTGGCTGACCTATCCATGGGCTGCAGTTATTTGAAGTAAAATGCGTTTATTCTGTCTAGATCTGCTAAAAAAATGTTTCTGTTTTCTTTCTAGATGTCTAATGATGAGGAGAACCCACAAGTTGGCAAAACTTCAAATGGTTCAAAAGCTTCATCTCTGACCAATCAAATCCAAGTGACCTGGTACAATGCTTTACTTCAGCAAGCTTCCATCTATGGTGTAGCTGCCGGGTATTGCCTCTCAGCTTCTTTGCTCTCCATTATCAACAAATGGGCTGTCATGAAATTTCCTTATCCAGGGGCACTAACTGCTTTACAGTACTTCACAAGTGCAGCCGGTGTCGTCCTTTGTGGTTACTTCAAGTTCATAGAGCATGATGCACTTGACCTTTTGACCATGTGGCGGTTTCTACCAGCAGCCATTATATTTTACCTCTCGCTTTTCACTAACAGTGAGCTCCTCCTCCATGCCAATGTTGACACTTTTATCGTCTTTCGTTCAGCCGTTCCCATCTTTGTAGCAGTAGGAGAGACCCTCTTTTTGCACCAACCATGGCCAGCGATCAAGACATGGATCTCACTTGCTACCATCTTTGGAGGAAGTGTGATTTATGTTCTAACAGATTACCAGTTCACTGTCATGGCATATAGCTGGGCTTTAGCTTACTTGGTAAGCATGTCGATAGACTTTGTTTACATAAAGCATGTGGTAATGACAATTGGTTTGAATACATGGGGTCTTGTTCTGTACAATAATCTTGAGGCTCTCCTACTGTTTCCTTTGGAGCTACTTATTATGGGGGAGTTGAAAAAAATAAAGCATGAAATCTCGGATGAGTCAGATTGGCACTCTTTTGAGGTGGTTTTGCCGGTGGGGTTATCATGTTTGTTTGGTTTGGCAATATCTTTCTTCGGGTTTTCTTGTCGAAGGGCAATTTCTGCAACAGGCTTTACAGTTCTCGGTATAGTGAATAAGTTGTTGACTGTTGTGATTAATTTGGTTATTTGGGATAAACATTCAACATGGGTGGGAACAGTTGGACTTTTGATTTGTATGCTAGGTGGTGTTATGTATCAGCAATCTACTAGCAATAAACCCAAGGCTGTGACAGAAACTAAGGCACAAGAGAGTGAAGAGGAACAACAGAAGCTACTTGAAATGCAGAACACAGAAAGCAACAATATCGAGAAGAAAGTAAAAGAGTCAGAAGAAGATAAATGAGAGAGCTTCTATAGAAGGCAACATTATTTGATGCTTTGCCATTGTGTTTTTGAAGCCATTCCTGGGTCCAGAGTTGTTATTAGTATGTTCTTGGAATGGCGGCAATTTTTATCCAAGCAACTATCTGCGCATGAGCAGAATACTTCCTTACCAAAGAGAAAGGTTCAGAGGTGGTTCACATATGGCAAATTGGTGATAATATCCCCTGGATCAAGAATACTGCAATTTGTATTACATTCATAGTTGATTTTTGATTTTTACATCCAAGCAGAACCAGGTTGGGATGTTTTGTTCTTTTGTTTGTGTTACTGTAACACTTAATTCGTTCAAACAGTCTTAGTAGAGTGCATTTTTGTTAGAATGGATGTAGCGAAAATGCTCATCTAATTGAAATTGGCTTATTTGTCAATCAAATAATCTTTAAGCAATTTTTATTTTTTATTTTTTTGGATAAACCCGGTAATTGCCTCTCCAACTATTAGAACACAAGACCTTTAACTATAGTTAACCCCGATGACTAAAGGGTTTGTCATCCGATCATAAGAGGAGAGCTATCTTCAAGCAATTATTAGGTTGTAGAGATGTCTTTATTATTTTTTTTTTTTAAATGTGAAAAATTCCGAATTATTATGTTTTGAAATCTGATGAAGGCAATGTAAGGATGTGAAACTAATCCTTTAATAACCAACCCCTAGGTGGCCAGGCGGCGATCAATTGAGACTCTTGGCTGTATTACTTAAAGAGGTTTTGACTTCAATTCTCTTTAGTTGTTAATAAGGGTGGCTACTAGAAGATTACTCGGTCGTTAACTTTAGGGTCCCGAAAGATTAATTGAGGTACACGTAAGCTAATCCGGACACCTCTAGTTACCAAATAAGTAAAGAAGAAATTAACCCTTCAGTATTACTTATCTCAAGCAATAATGGTTTTCTTTCTACCGTTGTTCGATTGGGATAGGGTGAGAAAACAACTTATAATTCAAATAGATCGACCTTCGATGCTAATTTTGCTCTTAAGAGCTGTAACGGTAACCGCTCATATTTTCTTATCTTGATTAGAATAAATAGACAGGGCAGCAACAGTAGGCCATTAGATTTTTGATATCTTCAAATATTATGTGGAAAGAATTGGAAGTTTTTATGGGTAATGATAATGAAATAAAAGAACAAAGAATATATATATATATATATAATACAAGTAAAAACTAAATAAGAGTTTTAAGGTTAAATAACATCAAGATCTAATGCAGCATATGAACTTGAAAAACTCGAAGCAATCAGCAATGGAAAATCTTTCTCTTTGTATACTCCTCAACGACTTCGTAGGTTCTTCTCTTCTGTAGAACTCAATCACATCTTCCTTATACATGAAATCTCTGGAGTCCCCCATATCATCAACACCGAAAAATATATCATTATCCACAGAATATTTTGACCACGAAGGATCCACCAAAGAACCACAAGAACAAGAAACCTCCTTCCCATCAGAGCTATAACCTCTTCTTCTTGCCATCACTGAACCAAACTAAACACCACACACTTTCTTTATTTGCTAATTGCTATGCATATACTCAAGTAAATTCTTCTTTAATTTGAAATGAGGTTTTTATAGGAATTTTTTTTTTTTTTTTTTTTGCCAGCAGAAGATAGAATTTTATAAGGAGATTTACACTATTTGTTAATAGAATTTTATAGGGATATTTACACTATTTGTCATCGGATAATTAAACACAAAATAATATTTATTAAAAACCAATTTGATGGTGAAGCCAATTTGCTATTTTAATATCAAACATTAATAAATAAAAATAACTATATACTTACAAATTATCAATTTTAAGAATAATGTAATGTCTTCCAAGTTTAATTTCAAAATTTTTATTTTAGTAAATTAACTAAGGGTAATTATCTTCCTCCTCATATAAGATCTTAGATTAATAGATATCTTATTTACAAATAGATGGGTATTATCCATTCATAATTTTGACTAAAAAAAATTGAAAGTTATTAATGATGTGATATTAATATTTAAATTTAAAATTAATAGAAGTTAAAGTATTTTGGACTCCAAAATCTTTAATTCAATTTTTTATAAGAGTATATATTTGTTTATTTTAAATTTGGAATAGCGCCAGTGTACCATATGCCTCATTGCATGGTCACAGGCATAGGCAGCACTACTTAAATTTAAAAAATTATTTGGTATAGTTATTTATATGACAAAGCCGATTTTCTCTCATAAACCCGCGATGTGATAATTCACAATTAATCAGCTCATAATTGATCAAACGGAATTCATTGTTGAACAAGCAAAACTCATTATGAGTTATAACTAGTGATGGCAATGGGCCAGGCCGAGACAGGATACCCCTTAGCCCAGACCCAAGCCTGACCTCATGACAAAGATCCAAGTCCGATCTAGGCCCATCACGAGTATGATAGGTAAAGCTCAAGCCCGGTCCGATGGGCTTTTTATAACCTCAGGTAGAGATGGCAATGGGCCCGACATTTTCGGGTACCCGGCCCGGTCCGAAAGGGGCGGGTTTTACCCGAGGTTGGCGGGCTTGGGCTTGGGCTTGGGCTTGATTTTAAGGCCCGATCTCGGGTACGGGCCAGGCATGGGTACATCTTTAGGCCCGGCCCGTCCCGAAAATTTTAATATTAATTTTACTAATTTACCCTTATACTATATATTTAATTACAATATTATCCTATATATATCTATTTTTCCTAAACCCTAACCTCAATTTTTATCCCATATTGAAGGTTTAACATGTTAAAATTGCCTTTAAATGAGTTAGATGGTTTTGGTTCAACTTATAAAAGTGGATTTCACCATAACATATTATGCACAGCTGAAAAGTTAGTATAATCAAATATTATGGAGTTTTAATTACTCAATTATTGCTTAAATTATTTACGGAAATAGCTTCAATTAATATTTAAAAACTATTTCTAAAATTAAAAATAAAAAAAAATTGAAATTTATTAATATTTAAAAATAAACATTATTAAAAAAGGCGGGCTTGGGCCGGGCCTATGGTTATAAAAAACCCGTCGGGCCAGTCTTGGGCTTTGCCTATCATACCCGTAGCGGGCTCGGGTCGGGCTTGGGCCTGTGTCATGAGGTTGGGCTTGGGCCTGGGCCAAAGGGTACCCGGTCCCGGCCCAGCCCGGCCCATTGCCATCACTAACCTCAGGTGCCGTCTAAGCCCGTCAATTTTTATAATGTGAATTTTTAAATATTAATAAATTTAAAAAAAAAATTATATTTTTAATTCTATAAACAATTTTTAAATATTAATTTATTTTTTAATACTCACCAAATATATAAATAATTTTCCATAAAGTGCATCCATCTATCCATGTAGGGTTTGGAAAAAATGAGTATATATATGCAGGATAATCTTGTAATTAAATATATAGTATAAGGGTAATTCAGTATAATTAATACTAAAATTATCGGATCGAGCCTGAAGATATACCCAAGCACGACCTGTACCCGAGGTCGGGCCTTAAAATCAGGCCTAAGCCCAAGCCCAAGCCTGCAAACATCAGGTAAAACCCCATCTTTTCGAGTCGGGCCAGACCGAGTACCCGAAAATATCAAGCCTATTGTCATCTCTAGTACCACGTTGCATTTGTACGAGAAAGTAATCAAGAATGGTAGGTATGTGAGCGTAATATTACCCTTTTTAGATTCACAAATACGTCCAATTAAAATGACAGATGAATTAGACCAACAAAGAAATTAAGTTGGACTCACAAATTTAAACTAATTCCCTCCAAACTCCATCAAAACCTATAATGCGAGCAATGACTTTGAGAGGAATTCCAGTCTAACACCTGTTAAACAACTTAACCCAGCTGTCAGAGTGTATAACAAATTTCAAAATTAATTTCTCCCCCCAACCCACCCTATCAAGTGTTAAACTGGAGCAACAATGGAGACTTTTTAACAACCGGACGAACCTCTGTTTTGAACAGCAGAAAACACAGCTTGTCCATCGAAAAATACACGAATCCCCCACTCGAATGCGTCACAAATGACCCAAAACTCTTCCCCACAATACAATGCCATGCCGGACCGTACACTGCATCGAATTCCTGAAACAAAAATATAATAAAACGGTGTAGTTTTAGTTTCGTTTCAACGTCCGTTTGAAACATTATATATAATATTGATGATGATATCTTTCTTACCTTTTTAAGACACAGAGACAAGTGAGTGTTATTGAGCTTCTTGTTGTCGGCGTTGGAGTCGAGAAGAGCTCTAGCGTGTCTGATCACACGTTCTTGCATTGAAGGGGGCATGTCGGCTGATCTCAGCCGTACGTTTAAATCGACGGCTATGGCTGCTAGCTTCGCCTGATTCGATGGATGAGCAGGAACGGGAAGTGGTGGTGGAGGCAGTGCTAACATGCGCCTTGGTGCGCACTGGACTACCACCCCTTTGTTCTTCGCAACCGCAAGTCTTCTCCTTCTTTCATTGTCTGAGTCTGGTCTCTCCATGAAGGTGTGAGAGAAAGAAAAAGTGGGTTTCACAGAGAGAGAGAGAGAGAAACAAAAATGTTTGAACGATCTTTGACTGGCAATAAGTTTAAATTATAAGCGACAAATTAGGTGCAGAGTAGGGGGCGCAATAATAGAGTGAGAATTTATAGCTGTAGATTATCGACTCTGTTATAAAATAGTGAATAAACAGCATTTTCCCACCCAAGGTTTGGCGAATTTAATTCCTACCCCTGATTTCATAAATTACAGATTTCCACCCTTAAATTAACTTAACAAATAACTGTTTAATTTAATAATTAAAAAGGTAAAATAGTCATTTTAAAGATAAAAATTTTAAAATAACCTTTCACTTCTCAAATTCACCCCACCTAAAAATTTCAAAATAACATTTTATTTCTCAAATTTACCTCATCGATGATTTTAGGTCATTCCAGCCTGTTTCTGACACAATCAACCTCTCCTGACACCACCATTATAATCCCCTCAACCCCCACATCAAAACCCTTAACCTCCCCGCCTAATTGAACCCCACAATTGCGAGCTGTCACTTTTAGTGTCAATCGGTGTTTCATCTAAATTCCGGCAAGTCTCGACACCAAAAACCACCCCCAAGACCACCAATAGCATCGCCAGCTTACCCCCACCAAAACCCCCAACATCACCAACTGCAATTACCCGCCCAACCCCCCAGATCACCGTCGCCTCTCCTTAGGTTTTTTTTCTTTTTTTTGTGCCAAATTTCGGCACTTAGCCGAGGTGCAATCGGGTGAAAAAGTTAGGGGTTTTTGTGAGGAAGATAAGGGGATGTTGATGGTGGTATCGTGGAGGTCCAATGGTATCGAAATCTGGCCGGATTCTTGGCTTGGCTGGGATCCTTTGGAGGTTATTTGAGAGAAATTTGAGATATAGAGGTTATTTTAATATTTTTGAAATCACCCGGTTGCTTATGGGACAAAAGTAGTGCCAAACTTGCAAATAAAACAAATTAAAGGCAAAAAATACATAATAATTGCAGTTGAATCCAATAAATAAATTACATCAAATCTTTTAAAACGAAGCATTTGGGCATCGGAATTTGTTAAATCAACCTTAATTTGCTAATACTATGTAATATTTATTGCAAAAATTCAACTTCTGTTTGATAAAGCACTCCTTTATGCCTCAAACCTTAAGCAAAGTAGTTCGTGAGAAATTTTACTCCAAACGTGAATGCAAAACCGAAACAAATCGGCTCACAACCAATCTTATAAACTTTCTTTTACAATCATGTTAGTTCACAATTGGACTAGCGAGACCCATAAAAAGCAAATATGACTCATTTATGAATTGACCAATTACAAAATGTCACGTCAGAGTTGTGAAAAAAAGTTTATGAGATTGAATTGTAAGTATATTATTACCTTTTATTTAAAGGTAATTTTGATAACCTTTTTTTATCTTTCATGAACAAGCAATGCTATATTTATAATTGCGTTGTATAACCAAACAAAAAACAAAAGATAAAATAATCATTTTACATAAATTTTATCCAATTTTTATTTGATTATATGACTTAATTATAAACGAAACATTATTATTTCATGCACACAAGGAATTGCTAATTTGGCCTCCGTTGAACTGGCATGCTACAAGATCAAAATAAAAACAAATGCATCTTTCAATTTGCCCACAAACCATAGAGTTTATTTTTTTTTTAAAGTTAGAAGGTTAAAATAAAATATTATTTCACAAAACGTGTTAAGTTGATAAATTATTTTAGCTTTTTTCGATGATAAAATAATATTCATTACTTGAACATTTCAAATTTCTTAAGAAAAAACCTTCAGAGCTTTTATAAAGTTGACAAAAAATAATGCGATTAATGGATTGGAACAACCTGAGGTTTCACATATAAAACAGACCACCTGTACAAAGAAGCGATTATCACTAAAAGCAAAAATATTTGTATACCTAAAATTGTAGTTTCAAACGATCTCTCAAGGTTGTTTGAATACAAGTGAACTTCTCTCTCTGTCAACTATCACAAGGGGCTAAAAATTACCAGTTTGGTGCACACAGGCAAGGAAGAAACTGTATAAAGGTAATCCAATTTTTTTTCCGACATGGGGAACACATGAAACAATCCCTTTCAAGATCAAATGAGTTTATTCTGTATCTTTATGGTGGATCTTACAAAGCTTGCATCTCCAAATTGGTGGTGTCGTTTCCGGAAGATGGTGCAGGATCCTGGTTTTCACTGGCAGAGTTCATCTCTTGGACAGGGGGAGGGTTGACAATAGTCATTGGCATCACCATATTATCTGAGAGACGGTTCTTCATTTCCCTGTGCTCCTGGCACAATGCACACCAGTGCATGCAGCAGTGAACCAGGCATGGATCACATGGTGAGTTCTGCGGTTATCAAATATATGGGTCAGCAAGAAGTAAAATCCGACAAAGAAAGAAGCAGTTCTTTCCTTCTGAAGCTGGAAGTCTCAGACCCTCCAGACCAAAAACTATCAATCAATCTCGTTCCAAATTACAATCCCATTAAAAACTAATTCTTTAAAAATTCAAACTTAACAACCAATATGTATATTGAATTGTACAATACATGCAAAAATATTAACTAGGATTCATCTATGCCTCCTTTCAATGAATTGATCCAAGAAGAAACAACATAAATGAACAGACCAATTAGAACAAACTAATCTAGAAACATGACCACAGTAAACATCACTGTGCTCCTACGCAAGACACTGGAGCATCAGCAATCATCCTACTTTATTCTAAAATGATTTTTTAATGATACATCATACATGATCAAGTACTTCTTAACATATGCAAACCAGCATACATAACATATTATCTGTACATCTATGACATATAGGTTTGATTGTACTGCATACATTTAAATTGTAAGCAAATCAAGAGTAACTTATACTACCAATTATTGCATGTCAACATAAAGAAAAATTGATTCACCTTGAGATGATATTTCTTCTGCAAGGATTGCCGAACAAGACCAGTGTATATCCCACACATCCACCAAGCAAAAAATAAACCCTCACAAATAAGAAATGATGTCCTTGGGTCAATGCCGTGAAAGATTGCTGTTGCTGTTGCCAATGCAATGCCACCTTCAACACAAATTGCATGACAAACGCATGGTGTACTCCATGGGGTATCTTCTCTCAAACTCTCAACATTACGCCCAAATAGAACACATGGGCAAAGCAGTCCAGTCCAGCCTGCAGAGACGTAAAAGAAAAGAATTATAACAAATTCTCACGTCTAATTTATGCAAGAAATGTATTAGAAATGAAGAAACACTTGTTGAAAAACAATGAGAAAAGATCATCATTTTCCAATCAATCTGAATTAGCAACTAATGGGCATGCTAACAGGCTGTGGTCTGTCAAAGTCAATAACTAGATCCATCAGTGAAGCATATTATCATAATATCTCTAAATCCTCAATGCCATCTAAAAACCAGAATTAAACTTTTTTTTATCTTTTTAAATTTTTGTATCTTTTCTCTTTAGGAAAACCATCATCATCATTCTTAAACATGCTAAAATATGTCAATTGATAATGTCACTCCTATATTCATCGAGATCAACTCATCTCTAATCCAGTTTTTCTCAATACTATTTCAATTCCTCATCAGACTGAAAACCAAATATATGGTAACATAAAGCCCAAAATTCCAAAAACAACACCCCATCTCAGTATGAAATCAACAATTATGCCAGCCAGCAGCACCTCAGTGATGAGCGGATTGAATCCCATTCCACCAATACGGATTCTAGAAAGTATGACCAATGTACGCCAACCAAAAAAGACCAAGAGAAAGAGAGAGAGTAAAAAAAAAAAGCTCATGCAGAACCGGTTAGAATGGTGGCTCAGAGACAAACATAACTAATCAAGTAATACATTTAACACCCTCTTGAGATCAACAAATTAAATCAACTTACAACTCTCAGTATCTTCAGTGCAGCCAAAAATCCCAGTAGTCCAAGGTTCATCACCAGGAGGCTCAAAATTGTCAGGTAAAGCCTGTCCGCACTCATTGCATTTACGAACATTCAACTGCCCATTTACCCACATGATCACCATCATTAGTCATCGAATCCATGACATCTTTCAATAAAATTAAGCCTCACTTCAATCGTCAACAAAAAGTAAAAATAAAAAATAAAAAGTATACATCATGTTAACTAAATCATATTGTTTGTGTGAGTCACCTGAGGAACCTCAATGGGCTGGTTGAGCTCACCAGGCTTGATGTCCTCCAAAGGCCCCTGATCTTTCGTCAGCTTCACATATCTTGATTTAACTCCCCCTTCCGCCATCTAATCACCGCGCAAAACTAATTTAACAACCAAGTATGAAACAATTTAAAGTTTAGGGATAAAATACAGATGAAAATAATCAAGCAAAATTAACTTATAAACTTCTTTACTAACACTCAAAACGAACACGCTTTCTCAATTTCGTAAATTAATTCTCTACGAAGATTAATGCCGAAGTATATTCAACCGTTTAGAAAAAGAAAAAGAAAAAGAAGTTGAAGAAAAGCAATTAAGCTAGGGTTCTTGCCTGAATTAGGTAAAAGACGTTGTGGCAGATGCAGAGAATGGGCGAGATATGCGGTTGAAACTGGAGAAGATCTGAATCTGGAACAGTCCGCAGAAGCCAAAAACAACCGTCTAGCAAAGACAATGAAGTCAACTATTAACCAGTCTTCAAACGCAATAACTAAGGTTGAAATGTTATAGGCTTATATCCTTATAGGCTCCACCAATCACTGCTTTACACGTCATCATTTCTCAATGAAATTTCACCCTTCTTACCTTATATTTAGTATTTCCCCATTTTGTCCATTTTGTTTGTTATATGTTGGCAGAACGACATTTTCCCACCCAGGTTTGGCGAAATGACCTTTTCCCACCCTTCAAGATTCAAAATGACACTTTCCCACCCTCACTAGGTTGTGTTATGTTTTATATTAATATTTTACTGAAAAGATGATAATATCCTTAAATATTTGACCTTATAAATTATTATTATTTTTTAATTAACCAAAAAATCAAATATTAAAAAGTCAAAAAAGAAAAAATAGTTAACCCCACCTAAAAAGCTAGGAGTAATACTATTTAATTGTTTAAAGTTAAATGACCTTAATATTTATTTATAATGTCATCAATATCTCATCACTATTATTCGATAATCTACTAAATTTATAATATTTTTCATTTTTACTAAATAACATAGAATATCAATATTCCTAATTAATTAAATAAACAAAGGAAAAGATTTATCTTTATATTTGAACTAATAAATAATCAAGTTAAAACTTTGACTTAACTAAATTTTAATTTGTAATAAACTAATTAAGAAATAAAAATTTTTAAGGGTATTTTCGTATTTTCTATTAAATATTAACCAAAAACATTATAGAACCTGACGAAAGGTGGGAAAGTGCCATTTTGAACCTTAACGGGTGGGAAAGTGTCGTTTCACCAAACCTTGGATGGGAAAATGTCATTCTCCCTTATATATTGAACAATTAATACGACAATTACCGGGCAATGTAAGAGGATCCTTATTGTTTCGTTAAAAACGATGTAAATTTAAATTTAAATAAAACACATTTGTTTGCAAAACAAGGAATATGGCCATGTTTTTCAGAAAGGTTTATGTAAAAGTTTAACACAATTTAATGATTTTAGGCGTTTGCAGGATAAGAACATAAGGGATGGCGATGGGTCAGAGAACCCCTTTTTTGTTGATTAATAGAAGAGTTAATGACTTTTTTCCAACCTAAAAAATGGTTTAATAACACTTTTCTACCCTTACACTATTAAAATACCATTTTCCACCCAAAACACAAATATGTTGGTAATTTTTATTGTGAACAAAGGCAGAATGGTCAAAAGCTAGTTAAAAGTAAGGGCAAAATGGTCATATTGTCCTTTTGGCTAGATACCTTCCCAAACCCTAACCACTGGTTCAAGCAATTCGACATAATCTTGGTACCGTTGATCACTACAGGCTCCACCCTCAGCTTCCCCATCCTTCACTCACAAAAACCCTTGACTTTTCCACCACATCGAGCACGCCGATCGCCGACCACCGTTGGTTTTTTGTTTGCACGACTGTTGAGCTTATAGGCCAGACTGTGGCCAATTTTGTTGCCGAAAATTTCACTTGAAGCCACTTTTAGTATCAGCGACACCTCCTCTCTAAAAGCCCCATCATCCTAGACTTTGGTTGTTCAACGTTCATTGGACACCAACCATTCAACAAAAGAATTGAACCACGATCACCGACAATTGGAGAGCTATCACGGTCCAATTGTTAGGACTATTGAAGAGGGATGACTAGTGATTCATTTGATGGTAGAAGGCCGAATTGCGGTGGTTGGAGTCGATCGGAATCGTGCACGAAATTTTGATTTGCGGTGGCCGGTGATTATGGGCTAGAGACTAGCTCGATTGTTCTCGTTAATTCTAGAGACTCTTCCTTCTGTTTGCTCCCTAAGGGTCAGCACCCGACATGGTGGATGACAATTTCTTTTCGGATACATGCAGGTGTTTGTGCACATGAAATTTGTTGTAAAAGCAAGTCAACAATAATACGAGTGAAAAGAGGTTAATTGGTATTTGTGCTTGAATTCAAGGTATATTTAATTAAATAATTCAATCTTTTAAAATTGTAAAAAAGACAATTTTTTGCGATTTAAGGATAATATTTATTATTTAATGAACCCATATCGTTACATCAAAACAGGATTTATAAACTGAAAATAAGGACTAAAAGGTAAATTTATATTGCATAGGCAAATTAAATTTGAAGTGGGAAATTCTTCAAAGAAAATAATGACCCAAAATTGTTTCAGAATATATTGTACATAACGATCCAATTTATCAGTAATTTCTATGCAGAATCATTTTAAGCAAAAGAAACAGCATATTCTGAGTCCATAAACTCAGTTCCAAAATACACTCAACATCTTCCCAAAGTCGATAGTTACAACAAACTGACAAAGTTATACATGAACCAGTAATTTGCTTATGACGGCCAGTTTCTGTACCAACCAGCCCAGGCAGAGACCAATCCACTAATGCCTAGAGTAACCGCGTGGTTGCAAAATGGGTTCGGCTCAATATCCGCCAGTGCAATTATCAAGTCTGCAACATTAGCCGCCACTCCCATCAACCTCATCACTCTATCACCTCTTATCTTCTTCACAATCTCTTTCACATCCTTTGAATCTTCTTTCGAACTTACAAGCTTTCTCTCCTCTTTTAACCCCTCTTTCATTATAATAAAATCAGATATAATGAAGAATATATAGCCGAAAGACTCACCAAACGCCGATATGAAGCTCATCCTTCTCGCCAACTTTGCGTCCAGAGTTCCAATTCTTGACAACCAAAGAAAGTGGTCAAAAAACCAGTAAACCATCTCTCCCGAATTGGCGAGAGCAGCCAAAAACCTGAGAGTTGGTGTCGAGCCAGGATTTCTTCGGAGAAGGTTAAACCCAGTGAGGAACCTGCCGGTTCTGAAGGCTTTTCTACTGAGGCCGGAGGCAACTTCCCAATGTTTGAATCTTTGCGCAATATCTGGTTGAGTGGCTTCAACGTGCCAGTGAACAAGCTTGGACACGTACTGAAAAGTCTTGACGAGCTTGTCAATGCCGTCTCTCTTTGCGAGGAAGATGACGAGTTTGTCCACTGTGTCATTCATGGTTCAAGCTGTGAAAGGGTACGTAGTTTGTTCGAGATAGATTATGAAGATGACGAAATTCGGTGTTCATAATAATAATCAAAGGGGAGCCACAAAAAAAAGAAAAAAAAAAAAAAAAGGGTTTTCGGATAACACACTCCACGGTTTGGTTTGTGGTTGGTTCTTGTTTAGCTCTTTCACATCCAGCAGTTTGTGTTAAATATGTTCCATCGCTACACTTCTTTTGTCTTGTGCGGAAACAGCACTTCACCAGTCATCAACTATAGAACAAAATTCTTTTTGTTTTTTGTTTTGTTTTGTTTTTTTTTTTTTTTTTGGGTGATGCCGTAATGGTTTGAAAATTAAACTTATTAAATTTATTTTTAAATATATTCTAAAAATACCTTTTGTTAATTTTATTCTTAATGTCACACGCTGCTAGTTTCACACCCAAAAGGTTATTTTATTAGGCCCTGACATGGACGTTTGATGAGATATCGAAAGACAGACTGGATCTGTTCTGATAGAACTTATCATGAGTTTCACATCTAAAAAGTTAACTTATTAGGTGAAGGAATTTCTCTTTTTATAAGTCTATGATTTTTCCAATATGCTTCCGATGTAGGATTTGTTACACTAAGCACTTGTTTTTCTCTCTCTCTCTCCCTTTTGCTATAAATTACTATAAATTTGACATTTTCATGTATTTTAAATGGTTAATGTTTCTTCAATTTCTATAATATAATTTTTATTTTAAAATTGTTTAATTTATGAAGCTTAAAAAGAGTTTTAGTGACGCTTAGTATTATTCATATATATATTTATGAGTGAAGCCCATAAAATGGGCAATGATGAGATTATTATAGTAATTTCACACAAAATATATTTTTGTGTTAGAATAATTTATTTGTTTCAAAAATTTGATCCTTGCTGACGTTATTATATTAAAATTGACCTAAGCTAAAAATATGAATATTATGAGTGTAAACGACAAAATTTACAATTGGAGGTAGAATCTTGTGAAGAGAGCCATTGACAACCTTGATGGACAACCTTGATGGACTTGCGAAGCGTCTTCTTGCGTAGCAATTGGAACTTTAGCAAAGCAAGGGGAGGCTTGAAGGTACGTAAACTAAAGTTTCAGGGTGCTCTTTTTCTTTTTTCTTCCCTAATGAGAGGACCGGCCTCAGTTTATATAGTGAACCTCAGGGGCTCGAATCCCAGTAGGACTTTGAGTTCTACTTGGTAGGAGAATTCTTTTCGGAAAGAGATTGAATTTTTTACCTTTATCTCTCAAGGCTTTTCTCTTTAGGTGAGATACAGGATCTTGTCAGAAGAGGAATTTGGGTAAGATTCTGATCCTTATCATGGACTGTTATGGGTGAATGGGCTGGACTCAGTTTAGCTTAACTCGGGAGATGACCCAACTCAGAGAGTAGGCAATTCCTAAAGTATTATAAGCGTGGGCCCGATCAGGATTGAGTCAAGGCTTTGAGCCATCACATATCATTGTTGCGATTGGACCTCGTCAGGCCCAATACGAATTTTGGCCCATACAATAAGAATCACACAAGTTCTTGTACAATGAAAAGCATAAAAATAAGAAGTAAAAAGAAAAAGCTAGAATGTGAGTACATATTTTAGAACTCTTTTCATGTTTTCACAATTTAAAGTAACTTGAAGGGAGGCAAAGTGAATTGAAGTATCCACAACCGAAGAAGGAAAGAATCAATGTTGTGAAAATCCCTTTACAACTTTTGATGGTATATATGAAAGCTTTCCAATTGTTTAAGGTATTTTTATTCTTTCTCGATAATAAAAGCAAAGGAAAATACTACATCTACTATCTTTTTTTACAAGCTTTCTCTCACAATCCTATATGTCAGCTCGCAATTGGTCAGTTTATAATAAGTCCTACTTTAGTCCCACCTGATAAATTGCAACTGGTCAATTAGGAGCTACCACGTCGGGGTTGTGAGAGAAAGTTTATGAAAAGAGGTTGTGAGTGTAACATTACTTGCAAAAAGAAATGTTATTTTTAGAGAAATTAATACACAACACTATATCCCATCCAATTCAAATCGGAAAAATAAAGATGGTTAGTTACCTTTTCTAATTCAATGAGTCGATTTGTAGTGCAACATCACTGAAAAAAACAACCCTTCTTGACAAAATCGGTTAGTTTACCGTTAACCAACAATGGAATATCTATTATACCAGTAAACCTTAACCTCTAAACCTTAAACCATGTTCACGAGTTTGTCTAAAAAAAGGCAAAACTAACGTATTTGTTTCATGCATATGCGAAAATCCTTGATTGCAACACATTTGCAGTCTTTCTGAATATGAACTCCCGTTTATTGACCAATAATATTATCCGTACAAATAGTTTATACAAAATGACGTTGAGCTAAACTATGGTTTATGTAAAATAAATCAATGTAATATTTGTGATATTTATATATTATCCGTACAGATAGTTTAATGGGTTGATGCTAAGAGAAAATTTTAACAATTATAAATGTTAAAAAGTTGATGGAATGTTTTTTTTTTTTTCTCACATTTATCAGTAATAACCCATTAATTTACAGAGGTTTTCAGTTTAAGCAAGAGAGATGAACATATTATATCAAATTATAATTATAATTTAAATAAGTTGACATTCTTTTTTAATTATTCAGTCATTGCAATGTTATATTTATCCAAAGGAAAACTGAAAATGGTTATTGTTATAAATTTAATAAAATAATAAAATATTGTAAATAATATATTCTCATATTTATTATTACTTGCGTTTATATGCAAAACTTGATGCATATCTCAGAAATTATTTTATACGGCATGTCGTTTTCTTCACACTACTGGCGGCCAATTATATATGTTGTAATTCCTCTATGCCCTGTAAAAGTTGCTCTAACCTCTCACTCATCTGAGTCACCACGAAATTCTCTCGCAATTTCCTATTTATCTAAAACCCGAAAACCTTTCACTTTAATTTCTCTCACTTTTCTCTTTAAATCTGCAATTACGTTTTCTTCAAAACAATCTAATGGACGCTCAGCGAGCTCTTCTGGACGAACTCATGGGTGCAGGTATTTTCCATAAACCCTAGGTTTTGTTTGAATTTGAACGTTTATTCACCATGTTATTCTGAAACGAGTTTGGTTTATTTTAGCTCGAAATTTGACTGAAGAGGAGAAAAAAGGGTACAAAGAAGTCAAATGGGATGATAAGGAGGTTTGCGCATTTTATATGGTTCGATTTTGTCCTCATGACCTCTTTGTCAATACTCGAAGCGATCTTGGTGTGTTATATGCTTCACTTTGTTTAGATTCAGTTCAAAAATTTGTATCTTAAATGTGTTTATTTAATATCTTTTATTTACATTTTATGAATTCTAATTTTATCGTTCATTAAGATGATTAGAGAGAGGAAGATTTTGCTAACTGTAGTTTATTGTTTGATGGCGTTACTGTAACAGGACCGTGCCCTAGAATTCATGATCCAAAGTTGAAGGAAAGGTATATATGAGTGTGGCTCCAATTCTTTAGTATATAGAATTCTTGCCTGTGATTTTGTCATGTGTTTCTACTTTCTAGGGTTTTTCTTTTTTGATTTTGTATGTGTTTAAATGGCATTAAATTTGATATTAGCCTTATTTTTTAATTTATTGTTGTAAGTTTGGGAAATTTGCCGCCTCATTTGGCTGTTATAGTATTCATGGTACTTTTGCGATATTTCATGATCTCTACATAGACTGACTAATTTGATTTTTTTTCCTTCTAGTGTAAAAGTAAAGCTGTACTACTAATTTTGTATGATTTTAGATGGTAACCTTCTCACCATAACTTCGTCATCTTTTAAATCCTGGTGTTGCCATATATGAGTGAAGTTTTAAGTTTGTGGGAATGACTAAAGATTGTTTGGCAATTAAATTCTTTCTACTGTTATGAAGTGACGAGACAGTGTTGGCTACCATGTTCCTCTTCCCATTTTTAGCTCCTTGTTTGTAGCTAAGGTTGCTACTTTCTCTAGTGAACAAGAAAACATAGTTGAAATTGCTCGAGGTTCATCTTGGCAGAGTTGCATTGGCACTTTTTTCTTCTGTGTTGCCTTTTAGAAACTTTGAAGCTGCTGCCTTATCTTGTTATCAAGGTGACAGGGAGCCCCACTCTTTTGATTTTTCTCTTTTAGTTTCTTTTCTGGTTTTTTGGGCATCTGGAACTGATAATTTTCTGGTTTTATTAACAAAGCTGCCTTCATTGTTGCTTGCTTTGTGAAGCTTGGTTCATCTCCTTTTCTCCTTTATATGTTTCTTTGGGTCACAGCATCTCTTCCAACAAGATTGGAAAATCCAAAGTATGTTGAATCAATCGTCATCTTTTCTGAAAAGCTTCAATAAACGAGTTCAAACAGTAATTTGGGCTCATATGCTTGGTTAACATTTAGTTTTGCTGAATATCAATCTTCAGTAATTCCCACGTGCAAAGTCGCTGTTCTTTTATAGCAAGCTACATAACAGTGTTGCTGATTGTACAAGTCTTCTTTGTTTCAGATCATTTTTGAATTTGTGTTTTTATATTATGTTTATCCGCATCACTGTTTGTTGGTGAAGTATATGTTTTTGGGTACATTGTAAATCCGTGGGAAAAATTCTTACATTCCTATATTCTTGTTTTGATGTGTATTATAGTTTTGAGAAGTCCACAAGACATGATGCTTATGTACCCAAATTTGAAGCTGAACTTGCTCAGTTTTGCGAGAAATTGGTAGGTTTGATATCTATATTAGCACTTTTTTCATGCATCTGAAAGATTCTCTTCTCTCTTAGATCCTTTCAAAAGGAAAATTCAGCATTCTATTGCCCGCATAAAAACATACAATTTTATATAGTAGAAGATAAGAATCTTGTATCTGTTGGAAAGCAACTTTTTCTTTCGGAAACTTAATCCAATGTTCACGAGTTTCCAACTTTCATCTCTTGAAAAGGGATTATTCCGGTCGTTAACCTAATGGTTTTCTTGCAGAGCGGCAAAGACTTGAATAAAAGAAAAAATGTGTGAAAATGTTATTTTTGGCTTTATTTTTTCAGTTATAGATTCATTAATGTCAATTTTTAAAAGCGGGAAACAAAAGGTAATAGCGAAAGATATTTATTTATATTGTCACTCCTTAAAAGCAAAAGGTAAAAAATTGAATTACATGGTGGCTTATTTTATTTTTTTGCTGCTTTTGATGGTTTGTAACTTTTGTGTATTATCTAATAGTACTTTTTTAATTGTAGGTCATGGACCTGGATAGAAGAGTTCGGCGTGGGCGAGAGCGCCTTTCTCAAGAAGTGGAACCTGCACCACCTGTTCCAGTACCAGAGGAAAAATCTGAACAGCTATCTGTGTTGGAGGAGAAGATAAAGAATCTTCTGGAACAAGTAGAGGCCCTTGGTGAAGCTGGCAAGGTGGATGAAGCAGAAGCGCTTATGAGAAAGGTGCTGCTATACATCTCTTGAGTTTCTCTCCCTCTTTAACTTTTATTTTGACTAGCACTTGTTAATTAATATAATAATTCGATGAAAGTATACTGCCATTGTCTGAAAATATATATCCTACACAGATTTTATAACTGTTTAGTAGCTAGTATTATGCTTCTCTTTATTCATTGTCTGCATTTTTGAATGTTCCAATAATTTCACTACAGGTTGCAAACCTTGAATTTGCCATCTCAAGATTTTTACTGATGCTATCTTCCTGTTGCAGGTGGAGCTACTTAATATTGAGAAGACAGCCTTGACCCAACAACCCCAGAATGAGAAGTTGTTGATGATGGCTCAAGAGAAAAAGATGGCTCTATGTGAGATCTGTGGTTCTTTTCTGGTAGCAAATGATGCAGCTGAGAGGACTCAGTCTCATATTACTGGAAAGCAGCATATTGGTTATGGCATGGTTCGTGATTTCATTACTGAGTACAAGGTTAGTCTCCCTTAGTTAATTCACAGTTTTATCTTGTTTATGTGAATTAAGAATAATTCAAATTGGAATTCACTTATCCAGTTTTATGTGAATTGATAATTTCATTTATGCTTTCCAGACAGCGAAGGAGAAGGCAAGGGAAGAGGAAAGATTGGTAAGGGAAAAAGAGGCAGAAGAGAGGAGGAAACAGAGGGAGAAAGAATATGAGAGTAGAAAGAGAAGAAGTGATTCGGGTGATAGGGACAGGTATCGTGATAGAGACCGTGACAGGGAGCGAGAGCGATACAGAGAACGTGATCGGAATCATGAAAGGTCTCGGGAGTTGGATGGTAGAAGTGGTCGAGATGGAGGGAGGGGGATGGATTGGAGATACAAGAAAGAAAGAGATGAAAGCAGGGAAAAGTATCGTGATCGTAGCAGATCACGTTCCCCTGTTAGGCATGGTCACAGGAGGTCACCTAGAAGTCCAATTTGCCCATATTAGTGGATTGTGTAGATAGGTCTCTGAGCTTTGAAATTAAATGAGGTAGATTTTTTAATATCTCAGAGTTTTATAAATGTGTGCTTTTGGAGTCTTGCGTTTCATGGTCATCAATCTTCATGGTTGAAACTGTTTTTGCCATCTCACAGCTTTTGTTGAGACTATACAATCTACCTTTCATCAATTATTAGTAGAGGAGAAAAGAGTTGAGGTAGGTATAACTATATTGATGTAACTCTTGTTCTATCATTTAATTTAGGATTTGGTTAAACTGAATTCTTTTATGCATGGTCGCTGAAACATTGTTTGAGAGTCCCTTTTTTGGGTTCATGGATGGCTAACTGTTCTCAAGTATGTAAGAGGACAGGCTCAAAAACATATGCTTGAATGACACTGCTGCTGAGGGAGGTGTTCTTTTTTCAATTGTTTAGAGGTAACCTAAATTTCATTTTTCGTCATCAGCTCGCCCTAGATTAGCCATATATCTGATTTCCTGTCTTTTTATTTTCCCTGTTTTTCTTTTCTGGATTTGAATTAAACCAATTTAATTGCAAATGCTGACCAGAGGCACAGCATTTCACTCTTCAATAACAGTTATAAGATAGAAAACTCATTTTCCTCTTCCCTTCTTTCTGCCCTTCCCTGGTCCTTCATGGAATTGAATGACTACTTTAGTGCATGCATTATGTGCATGTATGTGCAGTTACTAGACCTGTAGACTGGAGGAGTCTTTAATGATTAATTTAAATTTTTTGCATGTTTATCTTTATGTGAAAATAAATTTCCTCTTTTACAGATTCGGGTAATTTTGGAGTTAAAATTTCAAAAGTGGGTGTCAGATGGTTATAGGTAACTACTTTGTCTTTGCAAAGTGATATTTTGTAGCTTCTTAGTTGTCTCTGTAAGACAGTTTATTTAGCAGAGGTTTCTACTTGCATGAAAATCAACTTCGGTGAACTGGGATGCAAGGCCATTTTCAGTGTAGTAGATTTGCAAATATTTGGGTGCCTGGAGGTAATAAATTCATAATCTGTCGAGTAGCATAATTTTATCCCAGCTTGCAGGATCGGCAGGTAACTTATTGAACCTTGTAGATACATAGTTTCTGCTGGTTAGTATGTTCGTTCTTATGTTTGGGTAAGGAATGATTTCTGCAGGGATTTAAAATTTTCAAATTAGTTACTGTTGGCCATACTATTTAGACTAAAAGAAGATTGAAATTGGGGATCCAAATGTGAACGAAATCTGCTGGACTACTTAGTGCTTATAACGCAATGAATTTGTCTTGACATTGTAAATATTTTAGAGTAAATTTGTGAGCTCTGAAGGATGGAGTGGTTTTGCAGAGACTAGGCAGTGGGCTTCCTAAAATCCTATATTTATGATATTTGGGATAAACAATTATAGCACGAGGCAATCAATAATAAATCTTTTTTATATTTTGCTTTTTTATAATCATATGAACAAACCAGTGAAGCCAAAATATTGGTATGGAAGATGGGTTCTATAATTCCATCGTATTATCTCCAGACAATTCTATTTAATTGTTTTTTCGGTCACTTAAGTTGATCTAAAGGGATAATTTTGTAGGATTTTCCATGACAGTTTTTACAATTCAATGTTCATGGAAAAAAAATCTGAATATGTTGGACTATTCCTGTTTGTATGTGTACGAGTAGCACATCTGCAGACTGAATGATTATATGTAGATGCTACGATTTGTAATTTATAAACACCTTATAACTATGTAATCCCCTTAACAAAAGATCAGGACATTTTATATGTAAACAAATTACACATTTCATACTGAATGCTTTAACATGCCAAGGCATTAAACTTGAACATCTTTCTTTTATTTCATCCTCTTTTCTTCAAGGCTCAGTTCCTCTAAGATTAGCCAGATATAGTATCTTCTCCCTTATTAACACTCCGGTATGTGTACAGCCTTGAGCAAGCTAGAAAAAAACCAAACACTAGCAAACCAACAACAACAAATGTCCAAAACACATAATCTAGCCGCCCATTATTTTATATCATCTGGTAGCCAAGTCGTAGCCTTCCGGACTAGGTCTATAAAAGCTGTTCTCATATAGACACTAATTCCTGCGATGAGAGCAATCATAGCTGTCGCTGTGCTCCGCAAAGATGCAGGAAATTCTTGATAATAGAATGCAATTTGTCCTGGAGAACGAAATGCTTCTCCAATGCCTTCCAAAATAGGTTGTGGAAATAGCCACACGGCCGTCATTGGCACAATTAAACCACCTGGTTTGTCTTGCAGATGGTGAGTATGGATTATTTCAAGCCTCTTGGACTCCACTAGTGCTGCTACAATCATCGTGGCAACAATTATAGCGTGGCCTGCTCCTATTCGTTGAAGTGGAGTTGGCGATCGTCGAGTCAGCTTCTTCCAGGTTGGAAAAAACAAGCGATCAATTAAGGTTACACCAATGGCAGAGGAGAGCAGGTAAACAACTGGAAAAGATCCAGCTGGGAGTTTGAAATGTGGCCCAAAATGACGATCCATTGTTAGGGCTTGTAGAATTACCTAGCTGTTGGGAACTCCCACTGCCGAGCTTAAAATTACACTAGATAACCATAGTGGGAAAATTCTGATTAGTCTTTTGCAATCTTCTACTTGTTCAACTGTGCATAGTCTCCATGGTTTTGCAATTGACCCGTCTGCTCCAATGTCTCCTTCGGCTTTTTGTGCCGCGCGGTTTAGTAACCTGCATCAAAAATTAAATATAAATCATGAGCAAAGGAAAAAACTTTATCAATAGATTGTACCTGAAGCCTTGTTGTGGAGTTGCAGTAGTAACCGTATTCATGATTCCATTTTGATGTTGGTAATAATCGTCACTTCTGGATGAGAGTATGAGCTTCCGTTTTCGGATAGTAGCAACAACTACACGAGCTAAGCCCACAAACGAGCTACCTTGTGGCTTGTCATGGCGATAAAAAGGGTATCTCGACAAAAAAATGGCCAAGCCGATGAAGTTAGCAGCAATGCATACACAAAACCCAATTCTCCAACTGATGTTTTCTTCTATATAGACTATGGCTGTGGCACCCATCACAAAGGAAGTGCATATGGTGAAGTAGAACCAGTTTAAGAGAACTCCTTGTTGCTGAGGCTTATCGAGTTGGTTGGCTCCCACCGTTGCTAAAAGAGTGTATGATCCCTGTCCAATGGATGCCAGAGCTAAACTCGTATATAAGACCGCGAACTGTATTTTCGATGGAGTTTTGCACANGGTTTAGGAACCTGCATCAAAAATTAAATATAAATCATGAGCAAAGGAAAAAACTTTATCAATAGATTGTACCTGAAGCCTTGTTGTGGAGTTGCAGTAGTAACCGTATTCATGATTGCATTTTGATGTTGGTAATAATCGTCACTTCTGGATGAGAGTATGAGCTTCCGTTTTCGGATAGTAGCAACAACTACACGAGCTAAGCCCACAAACGAGCTACCTTGTGGCTTGTCATGGCGATAAAAAGGGTATCTCGACAAAAAAATGGCCAAGCCGATGAAGTTAGCAGCAATGCATACACAAAACCCAATTCTCCAACTGATGTTTTCTTCTATATAGACTATGGCTGTGGCACCCATCACAAAGGAAGTGCATATGGTGAAGTAGAACCAGTTTAAGAGAACTCCTTGTTGCTGAGGCTTATCGAGTTGGTTGGCTCCCACCGTTGCTAAAAGAGTGTATGATCCCTGTCCAATGGATGCCAGTGCTAAACTCGTATATAAGACCGCGAACTGTATTTTCGATGGAGTTTTGCACAAACTTGATCCGATTTTACATGATGGAGGCCTCAAGGAGTTGAGTGATGCAGTTAAGGCTAGAATGGCAATTCTTTGTCAATGGCAATGCCCTCCATTGCAGCTGCCATTTTGTTATAGTTCAGCCTTATGGTGGCTTATGCCTAGCCATTTTATTTGAGTTATCATCAATATTATATAAATATTAATATTAATATTTCCTTCAAGCAGCATCAACTGTGTTGTGTCATTCCACTGAACAATTAAGAAAAGAACCCTATTAAAATGTAACGATGCTGCAGTATGAATTTATGATATTGATAGTGATGGTGGTTGTGGTTGTGATAAAAAGAATAGTCCCAAGATAGAATCAGATTCCTGTTCAAGAAGATTTTTGTTTGTGATAAAATTTCATTAGTCATTGATCTGTGATAAAATTTAGTTAAATGGTGACAGTAAAGTAATATAGCATAAAAAAGAAAATAACACTACCAGACTGCCAGTGGAGTGGTATCGTAAAAGCTTCGATCTAGGAGGGCTCACAATGTTTAAAAAAACCAGGGAAATTCTGATCACCTCAGGTTTCAAAAAAGGGCGGCAAAAAAAAAAAATAAAAAAGGAAAAAAGCTGATTCATGCTAGCATTAAACTAAATGATTAGAATCATATTCTGGAATAAATTGAAGTACTTTTTCAATGTATTTTTTTTATAAGTGATTATTCTAGTCCAAAAATCAATGTTTTGCAATTCCAATGTTAGAAATATGGATGGTGAAGCAACTATGGAGGAGGTGGAGATGTGAACATATTCATGGTGAATTTGTTACAATTGACCATAAGTAGACAGAGTTGATCAAAGGAGGTTAATTATTGTTATTCTTGAAAAAAATAAAGGGATGTTAATTATACACAAGGAGGATATAATTAGATTGAACCAGAGAAAGGAAAGAACAAGAACTCCTCCAATTAGTGTAAAGCTCATCAAACTGAACTCAGAAGTTATGGCCGCACGGTTTAGGAACCTGCATCAGAATCCAAATGTAAATCATAAACTTTGTTCTAGCAGAGGGGAAAATTTTCTGAATAGTTTGTACCTGAAGCCCTATTGGGGAGTTGCAGGAACCATGTTGGAGATTCCATTTTGATTTTGATAGTAACCCTCAGTTCTGGATGAGAATACTAGTTTCCATTTACGAATAGTAGCGACAAGGACACGAGCTAAGCCCAAAAACGGGCCACCTTGTGGCTTGTCACGACGATAGAAATGGTATCCCAGCAGAAAAATGGCTAAGCCAATGAAGTTAGCAGCAATGCATACACAAAACCCAATTCTCCAACTGATGTTTTCTTCTATATAGACAATGGTTGTGGCACTCTTCACAAAGGAAGTGCATCAGGTGAAGTAGTACCAGTTGAAGAAAATTTCTCGATGCTGAGGCTTATCTAATTGGTTGGCTCCCACGGTTGCTAAAAGAGTGTGTAATCCCTGTCCCATGGATGCTGGAGCTAAACTCGTATATAAGAGTGGAAATTGCATTTTCAATGGAGTTTTGCACAAATTTGATCCGATTTTACATGGTGGAGGCCTCCAGGAGTTGAGTGATGTAGTATTGTAGTTAAGGCTAGAAAAATGGTTCCCTGAACCAGCTTGCACCTGAGGGTGGTGAGTATGGATTATTTTAAGCCTCTTGGACTCAAATACTGCTTCTACAACCATTGCAGCCATGATTATAACGTGGCCTACACCTATTCGTTGAAGCGGAGTTGGCGACTGTTGAATCAGCTTCTTCCACATGGGAAAAAGAAAGCGATCGACTGAGGTAAGACAGATGGATTTAGAGAGCAGGTAAATGACTGGAAATGATCCAGCTTGGATTTTGAAATGTGGCTCAAGATGACGGTCCATGGCCAGAGCTTGTAGAATTATCAAGCTATTGATAACTCCTATTGTGGTGCCTAAGAATATACTAGATGACCATAGGGGAGAAATTCTGATTATTTTTTTGAAATCTTCTACTTCTTCAACTGTGCACAGCCTCCATGGTTTTGCAATTGACCGATCTTCCCGGATGTCTCCTTCAGTTTTCAGTGCAGCACGGCTTAAGAACATGCTTAAGAAACACAATATATGTAAAATATAAATATTTGGTTTCATTCCCCATTCCAAGAACACAAATTATTAGAACAATAACCCTATATGCTCAAACTTTCACAAGTTATTAAAAGCATATGTTTGTACCTGAGTTTCTGTTGAGGAATTGCAGTGTCGATCACTAGCAAGGAAATAAAACAAGATGTGAAGATGACAGAGAAAGAGCCTAAGAAGGAGCCTGCGTTTATTGTATCGATGATAATCGGAAATAGATAGAGCAACCATGAACCACGTTGGAAATCTGGGCAGCATCAATACGACTGATGTTGAATTCTTCAATTAGATATACTATCAGGTTTGTTAGCCACCCTCCACAAGCGAGTGTCAACCCCACCACCGTCCCTAATCCATCAATGCAATAAGAGAGACTTCATGGATCATGATGAGTTATATTAACATAACATAATTGTACTTGAGAATGAGAGAGACCTGCAATGAAAGAGAAGGTGATCCAGCGTCCTCTTTTGCCTCTGTCATCCCACACTCGGTAATTCTTTGTCAATGGTAAATGGCATCCATTGCTTCTGCCATTTTGTTACAATGGGCTAGCCTGTTTGTATGAGTTATCATCAATATCTTAGCTATTGATATTGATATTTTCTTCTCCAGTAACCACCAATGGTAGCTTGTCAATCCATTGAACAGTTTGTTTATTCTTTCAACAGAGAAGATCTCAGTTACAATGAAAGGGTGGTTACAGTAAAACAGAGTCCTCGATAGAATCAGGTGCTTCGAAATTAGTGTAATTAAACTTCCATTGATTATTCATTTGTGATAAGGCTTAGTTAATTCGATTAGATTAAGAGTTGATAAGGCTTAGGCCCTCGAAGTCTAGCTTGGTTCTTAATAGTTGTGTCTTTCTTTGTTGTTTACTTTCTGTTTTGGGTTGGTGTTGACTATTTCTTTCTCGGTATAGCTGTTATCATCTTCCATTACCAAATATATATACATCTATCTTCATCAGTTTGGGATATTTCCTGCTTGTTTATCTTTATATCCTGATTTTCTCTTTAATTGGCTGTGACTATTGTATCATTTGATTTGATTGAGTGAGTGGGTTCTAACCTCTGTTTTAAAAGCTGGACCGAATTGGCTGATCAAACCAGGACTCGACAACTTCTCCGACCCGGCTCAGGTTTTAGGAGGGTTTATAATACTACAAATTTATGGGGACTCTTTGAAATTTTCTAGGGGTGTTTTAAAGATCTGTCAAAAGTTTAGAGATTAATTGATTTTTTTTGGGCATTTTGGAATAAATAAAAATTTTATGGACTAATTTAAAACTTTTTAAGGGTATTTTGTAATATACTAAAATTTAAGAAATTAATTTGCAATTTTTTGAAAATAAAATTATTACTGACATCAACGGTCCAACCGATTGAACCGGTCAACCCGTGACCTGATTATCTTACCGGGTCTCACGACTGGTCGAGTTTTAAAACAATGGTTCTAACACGTCTTTATTGTGCAGAATCATTTGTAATATATATCATACACTATAAAGAATGCAGAATATCATATTCTGATGGGAAAGGAATCACAGACGCATAAACAAAGGTAAAGATTTTGAGGAGACTATTATCTATTCCAAAATCAAAATTTTGTTGGATGAAAATGTCTAATCTAAATTCACACGCCGAATCTTACATACAAGGTTTGCTGTCGGAAGATCAAGCTGGTTCCCTGAATCTGATTTCAATATATCTTTAAGCTGATCTCTTGGGGTTGAAAGGCATGTGTGAAATGTAGCCAGAACTGGAGGAATTGGCACTGAGAGAGCAGAGAGCACGTTACTCAAGTACTCAATATCGACTGAAAGCTGTTGGGCTCCATGATCCGTTATATACTGAATGCCTCGTAGCTGCTCCATGTATAAAGCAGTGGCACCCTCCGCAACCTTTACAAGAAACAAAAACCAAAAATTTGTGGCATTAGTGCATTTTAAGGCATGATCATAATATTCTAGTTCAAAAATAATTTCGAAATTATATACATATATAAGAAACTGACCCTATGATTGGTTTAATTTTTTAACCTGTTATCAGACAAGATTTATCTCATTTAGTTAACATTTAGCTAATGCGGATTTTATTTTTATTGGCTGAAAGTGCTCAACTGTTATTGACTTGACTGAATATTAAAGCTAGTGTGACCAATATGTTGAAGAAAAATGCTATCTTACAAAGACTTATACAAAGAAAGCTACAAAGTGAAGAAAAAAACAAAGAAAAAACGGAAAAAGAGAAAGAGAGAGAGAGAGAGAGAGAGAGAGATGCCATGAAGATCAAGAGTAGGGGTTGTCTTTGTATGCCCCCTTTGTATTTGTCTTTGTAAGACTAGCACTTCTCTATGTTGAATTGCTTATGTTATGACAAGACATTTTAGGATGAAATAGCTCACTATCAACTGACGTGGTGAGAATTATTGGGTGAAAGGCATTATGGCACCCTGGTAAAGCTGATAATTGTATTCTCTACTTCTCAAAAACTAAAGAATATTCTGGTCAGACTATCAACAGATATTAGTTACTTGAGCGACTAGACTTTACACACAGCAACTATATATCCCAGATGGGACCAATATGGTGTTAACACAGGATTCACCGCATGTCAAGCATTCTAAACAATTTTTTGAATATATCGGTTTGAGCACTCAAATTCAAGATTTAATTCCCAAAAGTATAGGTTGGTTACCTTGAACATCCATTCAGTTGCAAAGAACTGGGCTTCATCATTGTTGACATCACCGGTAGCAATGCCCTCAGCTAGTGGCTCCAACTGTTGGGGCAAAGTAAGCAAATACTCACCAACACTAGTCACATAAGATTGTGGATATGCACTAAAGGTTGGGAGATGAAAAGCACTTTGTTCTTCTACTGAGGACCAGATTGGCAAGCGAGACACATCACTGAAGCGTTGTCGTACTTTAGATATGAGGACATTATAGACAAGTTCATTCACTGCATCAGCAAATGCTGCAACTCTCTGAGATGCCAGTGGAAGAGCATGAAACCGGGGATCT